AAATCATCATATCTGCTTTCCTTCTGAAAAATGAATTTAGGCTTTTTAAATCTTTACATGCGGTAGCTACACTTCACAGCGGTGTATGCTTCGCGGAGATAATAAAAAGCAAATAAACTATAAAACTTTTTAATTCGACCAAAGAAGTAGTCGTCGACGATGTAGATTTCATCAAATAGTTGGAGTCCTCTTCCTGTGGACTTTGGACACATTCATAAAGTGTTCAAAAGAAACTAGAAAAAAAGGGCCTGAACTTATCAAAATAGGAGATTTTTCATCGAAATAAAGAGCTCACTTTTTTTATGGCTCGAAAAATCTTTATGGGAAAAGTAGAAGAACCCCGAAAATGAAATTATTCGCAATGGCGTACACTCATTTAAACTAAAAACGATTTTCGGCCTCAAGAGATTCGTCTACGATACTAAAGACAGAAGAACCATGTATTCAAAAAAATTAAAAATTTAATTAGATAATAGAAGGAGTTATATTGAAATCAAATGGGAATACTTAAAAAGAAATATGAATAAGAAAAATGATGAAGAAATATAAAGAAAATGACTGAGGAAAAGTAAGCATGTGCGCGCCACTGCACAAAATTACGGTGAGGCAAGCCACGCCCCTGGTCTAGAAATAGCGGCGCCTCAAGCTTGCGGCTAACATGTGCACATACTCGCGCAATTCACGGCGCAAGCCTGCGAAATCCTCGCCGCAAAGTCGCGCCAGACGGGGGAGTAATTGAATTTCTTGTTTTCTTGAACTGCTCGGTTTTAAAAAAATTTCCCTTTTGAAGCAAAAAAAAAAAATCTTTGCAGCAACATTTTCTGCGTTAAATTAAATTTTTTATCTGAATAAATCAATCTCTTCATTTTCGCAACATCAGAATGGTATGGCGATGTTGCAGGGGAGAAAAAATACCATTAGGTGGATGAGCTAAACCAAACCTGTAAAGAAAACTTTTTTTTAAAATTTTATTGAGTGCGGAAAGATACATAGAATCAAAATAAGTCATTTTCGGCACATAATTCCACGTTGTTCACTGAAAAAAATAGTGTTCAAAAAATAAGCAAAACTTTCACCCGAATGTTTTTTTGTCAACTAGAAAAGAGATTGTGAAAGGATAAATTTTTTTCACGTCTATAGTTTTTGAAAAAAATTATTTTCGAATTTAATGAGTATGCGAGTTAGCGTCGTTCTGTGTATGCACCAAAGACGTCAAATATTACGGAAATTTTGGGAGGGGCTTCTTCAAAAGAACGCCGTGAACACTGTGCTGACTATGATTAGAGTAAAAACCCCTTGGATGCGCTTGGTTCCGAAAAATGTTTTCCTCCTCTTTTTCGCGATTTGAAAAGCATAAGCACAAACAACTCTTTCAAAATTGAAGGTTCCGAAACCTTTCGTGAAAATAAAAATTTTGGAAAGGTCGATAGGAAAATAAAGAAAGTTAATAAGTATAACTGAAACAAGATAATGCGAGAAAACTATTTGACAGATTTCTCAAGATACGTAAAATGGAAAGATATGGCTATAATCGAAAAAAATTAAAAATACAATCTTCTCGAAGCTTTCAAAAAAGAATCGTTGACCAAAAGTTATTCAAACTGATAGAAATGCTTTAAAAAAAGCGCATGCTCCTTGCCGTTTGAAATTTTTTTGTTATATTCAAAATATTTTTTTAATATACAAATCAGCGAAATTCAAAATAACCGTCAGAGGAAGAAAAAGATCACCAAATTTTAGAGGGTCAGAGATAATTTTGCATTTCGCAGAAATTATTTTGAACACGGCAAAAGGAAATGAGAAAATAAAAGTAATGAAAAGGCAACTTGGCATGATTTCTAGGCAATAAGAAAGCGATGGAGGATGAGGTTTTTGGCACAACTGGTGTGACCTCATCACCCCTGACCTCACCACAACCGTTTGAATCTCTGTCTCTCCTCACGTCAGCCTCAAAACACACAGACAGACATACAACAAAAATGTGCCTCTGTCGGATTAAATGGCCGTTGCGGACGGAGGGACGGGACGACAATTAGCTTTTCATTAGCGTAAATAGCCCAAAGCTTTTCGACTAATTTTCGAAATTCCACAATATAGTTTCAATCGAATTTTTCAAAATTTTTTATTTGAATGGTACCTAGTAACACGTTCCTTCTTTTATAATTGTTTCTGTTGTATTTATAATAATTCTATAATTGTAAAAAAAAACATGAATTTGAAGCTGCAAAAAGAGAAAAAAACTTGCATCGTTCTGACATGGTCCCTCAAAAAAATCGGTCGGTTTCTTCTACGCTGCTTCTGGATGACGACGATGACCTTGCGGTCGTCATTTCCCTGCAAAAAATCGAATTTTTATAGATCTCGGGTCCAAACAAGATGTTAGAAGGATTTAATCAAGATAAATTTAGTTAAACTTTTTTTAAATCTCAAAGTAATGGCGGACACTAGCGGTAAGCTGTGCAACCATATTTAAAACAGCAAAGTTATTGCACTACAGAAATGAAAAAGACTTCTACTACAACAAGATTCGTGCCACTCCAAACCAATCAAAGATTTAGATGAATGCAGGTAAGGCGACACTTCAATAACCGCTGTAATATTTGGGCAACGAGAAAACTTCTCAGGAAATGAGGGAAAACAAAAAAAAGGCGGACGACAATCTACAGTGGCGGCAGCAACAAAAGCGATCAAATGAATCGAAGGAGATCATTATTGGAACAAAAGCATGAAGAACTTTTTAAATAAGTTTTGTTTTTATTCTGATTACAAAATGAATACTAATAAATCAAAAATTTTTCCTCAAAGTTCAAAAACGAAAAATCAGCTTGTAAACTGGAATGGAAGTGTAAAAAATTGATTGTTTAACATCTTACTAGGAGATTCTAAACCAAACTTTCTGAGTTTGCTCTTTTCCCTGAAAAAAAGTGGTGTTCCCAGAATAATAAGAAGAGTAAACATCGAGAAGTTTTCTGAAAATAATGCCTGTTGGAACGGTTCAAAACTACTGAAAAGAGGCGTGATCGAGCAAATGGTTCATCTAAATCCGATTTGTCTGTTTACCTTGTGGTGAGCGGTTCAATAAAAGAGAATGTTCAATATGATTGGACTCGCCGTTCAGTGGGTTCCATCCGATTTCTACCAGCAAAAAGAATTTCAGTTTTTCCTTTGAATAAAGTTTCAAAAATTGTCGACGCAGTTTTTTGAAAAGATCAATATCGAACGGAATGTCGGCGAGGCACAGAAAGCGATAGAGAGAGGGAGGCGGAGTGAAAAGATTTAAAAAAAAAAGAAAAAGAAAAAACTGAAATTGAAAAAAACTGGTAAGCGATTAGCGAGTTTTCAGCTGGAAACATTTTCAACTTTTGGAAGAAAAATGCAAACAAAAGGAGCTCGAACTTCAGTTGAAAAGAAACGTCTAGTTAAAGCCGTTTTGACAATATTTCACGCATGCTTAAGACAGCGCTACAGTCGATTTACGATATAGCTTGGGCGTGACACTGTCTCTGCTCTCCATCAAATAGGTAGTCTCTTTTTTTTTTAAATCTTGTCAGGACCCATTTTTCGATGGCTCAAATCAGCCAAGAATCGGCTATGAGGCAGCCGGTCAATATTGCGCCGTCTTTTCTGCAGCAAGGAAATTTTAAAATTTCCGTTTTTTCTAGATATTTTTCAAGTAAAAGTGCTACTCTTTATTAAAATATCTAAAACACCGTAATACGAGCAGCTGCCTTGATAAGCTGTGATTCCTTGAGCTAAACTTGCTGTAAATGAAGAAGTCTAAACAAGTTATCTACAAAAATATGAGATGTTAAGAAATGGGGCGAAAATGTGTTGCGACTCTCACAAGTGACCCCAAACTAAGACGACAAATTTCGCCGAGATTTTGAACAAATAATGGTCACAACTGGAAAAATTGACTGCGAACATTATGAAAGAAACTGTTGACAAAAGACCATTCAGAAAGGGCGACTATAAAATTTCATAGTACCATTGTCGCCAGGTTTCCGAGTGAAACTATACTTTTTCTGAAAGCGGCGAAACCAAAAAAGGAGACTCACTGGATAGCGAAAAATTAAATGGTTGACTTTTTTTGAAATTTAAAATTAATGGAAACTTTTTCAAAGCAAGGGAAATAAATATGGATACTCTCAAACAGAAGGGTTTCGAAAAATCAAAGACCTACGGAAGTCTTTTTTTGACGCCTGGTCTATGAAAACAATTTCTATCAATTGAGAGAAAACGAGAAAGCCAAAATTTATAATCAATTATCAATTATTTAATTTTTTTTTGTCGATAAAATTTAAAAATTTCGAAGGAAACAAAGAAAAAAAGGAAATAATCTCAGATTGATAAGGATTGTGTTTCACTACGCAATCAATGTCATTTTTAAATATAAAAAGATCAGGGTTATAACCCGAGCGAACAGAAGAAATTCTCCTGGCGACGGTTCAAGAAAAGATTTTTTTCAAAACTTTTTGTTTTATTGATAAAAAAATTTCAATCGAAGAAAGAAGCAGTCAATGTCATCATGCTCACTCGTTCAACAGAAAAGGAGAGAAAAATTTGGTAGGACACGCAAAACTTGAAAATCAGCTCATTTTTATTTGACGGTTGCTCAAAAAAAAAAGTAGACCACCTTTTCGAAACTTTATGGCCATGTTCACACATAGATCCCACGTATGTCGGTTACTCACAAAGGTTGTTTGTTGAGGACGGAATTCGAATCGCTATCACATGCTGGCGCAATTTTTGGCTTATCTGCCGCTCGTAGCTTTTCCACCATCTTTTGCTTCTTTGCGCTTTTTCTTTTTTCTTCTAAAATTACTTTCATGGAAAAAGTTTTGATTCGTACAATTAATCGAACACTTCAGCCTGTTGGATTTTTACAAGTCATTTCAAAATGAAAAAGACTTTTGTCGTGAAACCTCTTTGAATTTTACCTCTGCTCCAAGTGAATCCAAATTTCACAGTTTTTCTATTTTATTTCCCTTTTTAAGGTGATGCATTTGCATCTGCCGCATCTTAGCAGCGGCTGGACCGACAGTCATGGAAGAACACACATCAACGACGGCGACATGGCCAACATGTACAGCGACTTTCATAAAGCCTTGGGCGAGACTTATTGGCAAACGGCTAGCAATCAAAAAAGTGAGATCAAATCAATATAATCGCTATGGTCTCGATCATTTTTATTAAAATCAATTCACCCACAAATCAATTAAGTTTGCGAGGATGCGATGCAAGCTCTACGAAAAACGCACATCTCGAAAAAAACGGCAACTTTTTTGAAAAATTTTGTCGCACTAACGCGTGACGCCTACAGTCATGCTCACTACAACGTCAACGAGCTTTTCTATGAGCAAAGGTTGGAGTTTTTGGATCAAATAAAGTCACACTTTTCAGCTTTCAGAACCATCGTCCGTTCAGAGTACTGGCACGAAATCGCAAAAATATATCATGTAGTGATGCTCAAAGCCGATAAGGTTGGGTATATTTTAAAAAAAACGTTTCCATAAAACACACTTTGAGGTGATGCACCACGATAATACATTATTGAAACTAGAGCTCATAATGCATTTTGTCAACCTCTACAGCATGTACAAGGATATTGCGGACGAGGTCAGCCAAAACCAATTGATTGATAAAAACTTGAAACCTATCGGTTCACCACGAGAAGTCAAGGGCTCTTCAAGAGACGTCGTCTTCTTATGTCAAAAACTAACAGGCCTTCTGGTCGGATCGTAGGTGAAAGACGGGTGACAGTCGCGCGAACCGACGAACATCTCTTAGAATATTCTATGATTCAGTCGATATAGCATCACTCTGAAGACTGAATATATTTTAAATGTTAAAAACCTCTCATTTTGAGGACTTTGTCGTTGATGCACACTCGAGAGCGTCAACGATCTATGCTGCCATTCACCAGACGCCAAACGTGACGGACCAGGAGAGAAGCAAGGTGCCAAGAGAGTTCTGAAATGATCCAATTAGAGAACGAAACATTCAGAAACGAAAAAAAAGCAAAATTTTAGGCACAAGAATATTCGGAAGCTGTGGAATTGGCATATCGTCTTCGGCATGAGCATGCGCGGTACGCCAACGACGAAACGAGACGAGTGGGAGAAGTTCCTTCAATAGACTTGTCCGAGACAATTGAAAATATGTCTTGTGGAGAACAAAAGGACCACGATAATGATGACGACCAGGAAATGAGGCGGATGCTGACGGAAAATTTGAAACTGCGACACGTCGTCCAGCAAATTCATCAGCACATCGACGACCGTTACAAGCAACTGATTGATCAAGATGAGCCGAATCACGCGAAGACACCTTTGAAAAGCCAGTTTGCGGAGCCTGACAGTCAAGATGAAGGTGATTTGGCATCGTTCAAGTTTCTAACGACCACAAGAGTATAGTATTGGGAGATCCGAGCAGTTTTAAAAAACGATTCGTTAATTAAGAAATATACGTTTTGAAAAAAGAAAATATTTTTATTTCTCAAATCAAATTCGACTAGGCTGCATGTTGACTGTAATTTATTTTCCCTACAAAAATTTCTTCAAACAACTTCTTCGCTTTTCAGAACATGATAGCGACTCAAGCGATGCGGATACGGTGATTGCTATGGCGGTTAGACCGACACTAATGGCTGGTTTGATGGCGGAATCGGTGACGCGATCACGGCCTCTCCGCGTTTCAATGTCGCCGGACGCCGTCAACACTTTCGAACCGGCGGCGGAACCCAATGAGCCAAACGCCTTTCTAGATCTACACCAAGTCGAACTTAAACCTTTACAAGAACTAGACTCTAGAATGACGAGCGTCCCCGAGTTTCCGGCTCATCACCCTCAGTTAAACCAGCCACTCATCGATTTGGATAGTGAGCCAGCTTTTGTCGAGCCGTCCCCAGTTTTTGTGGAAATTGATGGCCTGTTGAGTCTGAATGGTTCACAGCCACCGGAGAGTCTGTTCGAAGAGCCGCCAATCCTACAAGTATTGCAAAAGGAAACTGAGATGGAAGAAATCGCCCTCCAAGTCGACTGGTGGAGCCAAGTGCGGACAAGACCTTCCGCAGAAAACCTTTTGGAGCAAGAGGAACCTTTTTTGAACGTGCCATCGGAAAAATCTTCCGATATCGTGTTGGAACGGGCTCAAGAGATGCAAGAAATGAAAATTAATCTCTCGAATATAGAAAACACCCATGAAGCGCTAGACGCACAGCAAGAAATGAAAGACTGGAACAAAACGCTGGACGATGTTACTCGAAAATCAGAAAGAGCACGTAAACTTTCGAATAAACTTTGGCAGAGTATATCCAACAATTATCAGAATGCAGCCACCAGCACTAGTTCAACTATCCAAACGAGAAAAAGCCGGGACTTCATATCTGAAACAACAGAGGTGTCTTGTAGCCGAGCTTGTTCGACCAGTGGACTTGCAAATGAACAAGTACCCCCGCTGCAGAAAGAGACAAAAACAAAAGAGAAGGTTGCCGAAGAATTCCAAGACGGAAGTATCAGCGCTGAATGCACTACGAGTACCACTGAAACTAGAGAAAACCATCAAGAAAAAGTTACACGAGTCAGTGATCACTCGACCAGCAGAAGTGGAAAAGTGAGGGAACGACGAGAAATAAACATCGACGAAGAGATTGCCAGACGGATGTCGTTGCAATTTCCACCGAGTCCAGAATCATCAAAATCGAGTTTAAACGTGTACTGCACGCTTCCTCGACGTTCCGTTCAACAAGCACCTCAAGCAGAAGACCGTCTGACGAATAGTACTGTTCTTGAACCTTTCGACCCGAAGTCAGAGTTTGAGCGCCGCTTCCCCAGAGCCAAAAAGAGCATCAAATCAATTTTCAACTTCAAGTAAGTTTTTTACTCTAAAAAATAAGAAAGTATTTATCTTGTTCAACTCTGCTTTTCAAATTTTGCCCATTTTAAAATGATCAACTCCCAGACTACCGGTCATTTCAAAGACGAGTGAAAGGCGTCCAAGGCGAATCGCAGCCCACGAAATGCAGATTGATGAAAGCTTGTCGGTGAGTTCAAATTACATCTTTCAAAAAAATATTTTTTTATTTGTTTGAAATCTCTCTTCCCAACATTTTGCACACCCGAATGCAAACGGTTTTTCATTCGAAACCAGTTCAGAAGTCAGTTACTGTGTTCGAGGAGATGGACCTGGAGACTTCGAAAGAAAGAGGAAGCCAAATCCCAGCGTCACAAGTATCGACTTTATCCATCGTGGCGCCGCGTAAACCACCTCGATCAATGATTGAGGACAGGATAACGAATATCGAGGTTCGATGTGAAAAAAAAAGGTTTTGAACAACAACGAAGACAACGTTTTAGGAAAAATACACGGTGGTTGAAGCAAGCATCATCACCGAAAATTGAGAGCACAATATTGAAGAGAATAAAATGTACGAGCACATAGAGTCAAGCCGATAGCCACATGTGTTCCAAATATGAAGTGAACAAGGGCCAAGACTAATCGTAGTCATCGGGAATGTTGGCAAAGGTACCAATGGTAGGGAAATGGACGGCGCTGAAACCGTCAGTTCCACCGACGCCAGCCGCCGGCACTGCCCAGTGAGCGCCCCAAGAAAGCTAAAAAGTAGTCTCGCCAACGTACTGTCTCTATTTCTTATTGCTTTTTTTTTTGAAACAGACACAAAATACAATTCCAAACCTGTCCATTGAGCCAATCAGCCGTCACAGATCGCGGCGCGTAGTAATACTTGTTTGCATGGTCTCTGTTGTGAGGATTGTCGGGGTTCGGCTCCCAAAGTCCTATCAATTTAATTAATTCCCAAGAAAAAAAGTTTTTCCTCTCACCTGGCTTAGAGAAAGGCGAACGGCTGCGTGGTCGATGTAAAACGCCGCGAGTGTCCGTGAATCCGTTGTATTGGCTGAGAGCGTTACTGAAAACACTATCCGAAGGGACAACAGGCACCGAATCTCTGCAAAAATAACTTTTACTTTTCGACATGCTTTGAATTCAAAGTTTTTTTTAAATGTTTTACAAAAAAACCTTCAGAGGTAAAAAAAAATCAAACCAACTTTGCTTTTTCGTCGTGTGGCAACGGAGGAGGCTCAACTAGTTCCAATTTTCGACTGAAAGTAACTCGCAATCATCCCACTTTGTATGATTTCTTTCGAATAACCTTTTTGTTTCTGATATGGTTGTTCCTTGATCCTCTGAATGAAAAGATGCGGGTTGCTTAGGTTCAGACCAAGCCGCAAACCACGGTACAGCTAGATAGGAAACAATTTGAAAAATGAAAAATACGGGGGACACCGCAGCGTTTGAAGCCGCAAAGGTCACAGACTATAGAATACTAGAGTCCCGCTCACCGCTATTTTCATTGAACGAAAAATTTTCATCTTCATCGGGCCAATCGACAAGCGGATCGTCCTTCAGTCTTGACGAAAACCTTGAAAAAACCGTTTCAAAATGAAAAAAAAAAACAAACCTCGACGGGTTGACGGGTAAAGACTCGCCAGTAGGAGAAAGCACATTAAACTGTTGGTTATTTTTAGGCCCCTCTAGAAATGAAAAATATTGAACAGAAACCGAAAGTTAGTCCTACCAACAACTTTGCCTTTTTCAGCTTTCGAATATATGAACTGTGAAGCATAATGATAACGCTCGTATTTGGGACAACCGTTGTACCATAATCTGAATTTCTAAACTTTTGGACTAAATTTTTCATTCCGTCAAGCTCAAAATGCCTCAAAAATGAGGAAAAGATGATCAGCTGATAAAAGGAATTATTGAGAGATAGCTACTCATACACATACATGGGATAGTCTCGGTGGAGCCTGAAAAGGGGGAAGGGGGAGCTTGGCGAAAAGAGAGAGAAGGGGGGGTTGGCAGAAACCGTAATGTTCAAGATGCGCGTTGTACGGTGCTAGTCCGATATTATTAATAAAAATTTCATTTTGTAAATTGCAAATAAAAGAGTCTTCCTCACCGACAAGTGTTGAGAAAAAGAGGAAGCGGCGGTGGATTGCAGAACTTTTGAACGGACGGATAGGCGTAGTCGCACTTGCAGTCCTGAAAATTGTCCAAACAGTTGCAAAATTCCGGAAGAAAAACCTCGGTACAATGTGGAAACAGTCTTCGATCACAGTCCGCTGTACAAGGTCGCCTAAAAAATGGAAACTTTGAACACGTGTATCAACTCTGACTTTTTCCGATGATGCTTCTTTTTCTTCCTTCTGATATTTCCGTCGGAGCCCTAAAACTTAAAATTTAGAATGAAAAAAGTGGAAACTCTCTTCCAGTAATCTCTGTGTCGGGGAAATTCTCGGCTGTTGTAGCGGGTTTGAAGGGATCGTCTGGCTCTCTAATGCTTTGAACGGTGTCACCATTTCAATTGGTCTCAACTCACTCGGTTTCACATGCGAGCCTGTACGACGGACAAAACTTCGAAGTTATTTCTTCATTCAGCACGGAGCCTCTTAAAATCCTTTGGATAAAAATTATTATCATTAATTTACAAAAACTTTTTTTGCTAAACAATTCCTGGGAAGTTTTCAAAAAACAAACTTGCAGTAGAAGTTGTAATTAACGGAAAATTTGTCGCAATATTCTTTTTTGCTTCCTTTGTAGAGAGCCTTTCTGCCATTTCCAGAGTCCTAAGCCAAAAATGTTAGTTTTGAGTTTGAATACTACACCCATTCACGGCTAGCTTGGCACGACGTGGCACTGTCTGCGCTCTGCTTTAAAACTGGCCATATAATTTTTTTTTTTTTACCGTTTCCGGACCCAATTTTCAATAGCTCAAGCCAGCCGCAAATCGGATATAGGTCATTTACGGCTAGCTTGGGACGCTAGGAGGGCGTGGTCTGTCTGCGCTCTCCACAAACACTGTTTCTTATCACTTTTTCAGTGCCCTTTTTTCGATGTCTCAAGTCAGCCGTGATTAAGCTATATACAGTTTACCACGCTCGAAGATTCTGACCCACCACCGAGAAACGTACTGGAGCCTTTCAATCTAGAAATAACAAAGTGAAAGAATCAAATTGGAAAATTTTCCTTGTAAAGATTGAGAAAATCATATTTTTATATCAGTCTATTATCAGAAGGGTGAGAGTTGTGTCTTTGATAAACTCGAAAGTCAATGGGTTTTCATATCCTTTATAGACTTGCAAAAAGCGCTAAAAGTTTTTTTTTTTCATGTCGAGCTCAAAGTAATCCCGCGAAATTAAAAATAATCTCTCATTTTTTTTTTTACCATGTCAGGACCCTTTTTTCGATGGCTATCGTGGAATCAGTTACATCTTGTTCCCTGCCTGAAAACTATTTTGAATTACGCGGGATCACTTGGAACACGGCATACTGTTTATAGAGCCTCCTCTTCTTTTTAAATCCTCCAAAAACTATTAATAGCGGCGGTGAACCGAGTGTTTACAAATACTAAAAGAAAAGTGTGGACCGAATGTGAAACATTGAACTCAACTTTTCTTATATTACGTCTCCTGGCAAAACTCACACCACTCTTCCATATTTAGCCATTTATTGATGTTACTAACCACTATTATTGACTTGATAAACTTTGCAATAACTAAAAATAGCCAACGCACCCGTGACAAAAATCTAATTTGACAGAAATGACAATAAACATTGATGAAACGAAGAAAAACAGGCTTCGAGCAAAACGATTCCTCTGTAAATCACGTGAGACGACGACGACCAGAAAAAACAAAAAAATGAAAATGCATTCGAAAAATCTCCCGCTGGGAAAAACTTTCACAAGTCTTTTTCTTCCATGTACATTCCGTTCTCGAACAAAAATTTATAAACATGCGACAAACCATGAAAACAAAAGAGAAATATTGCACAATCGTTTCAAAAAAATCCGAGATCTTTTTGCTTAAAGTACATGCAGATGACAGATAAACAGTTATTTTTACAGGTTCATGTCATTTTCAATTGAAAGAGATGTGCAAACCAAAACATGCAAATAGAACAAAAACTTGATTTGGATGAAAATTCCCATTTATGATTCATTTGAACGCTCGATTGCACTCCATCTTCTTTCAATAAACATATTCAATTTTTAAAGCTTCTTATGAGAATAACATGAAGGTAATTGCCAAAAAATTGCGATTCAGTCAGGAGATCTGCGTTTGAAATGAGATTCACCGGAGAGACTAGACTAAAACGAAGAAAAGGAGCATAAAAAGCCTACGTTTGACTCTGTTGTGGGCAGTTACGATGATAGGAGGCACAAAACTTTGTATTTTCATTGGAGGCATCGCCGACGCAAAAATAATGGAAGTTCTCAATGTACCGCTGGCAATACGTCGAAATCTGTAAATCATTTGATTCAAAAATGCATCTTTTGAATCAATGACTGAAGCTGTTTAAGGAAAAAGTAAGTTAAGAAAAAAATAGTAGATAAACATAAATAGAATGATTTATGTATGCGGTTTTTGGTGCTACGACAAAAGGCAGTTAGGTCTCCATTACCAAAAAGTTTCTAGATTTACTATTCAAATGCTGATATTTGCTCTAATTTCATGCTAAGTCCTTTTTTAACTTGAACTTTGAAAAGTACATTTCCGTCGGTAGATTATATACGTACCTCCTCATCAACCTTTCCCTGGCCTTCGGGGGACGGTTCGGGCAACTCGGCCGACGTGCTGCGATTGTTCACCGACTTTTCGGGCTCAATATCTTCGGGAAACTCTTCCAACGAGTTACTATAACCACGAAATTTACTAAGGAGATCAGTTTCAGCAAACTAACATCTCCTTGGAGAGATTTACGTTTTTGCTAAGCTTTTCCGGCGCCTGCAGACAGCTCTTCTTGTAAGATTTGCAAAAATCTTCGGACGAGAAGGAACGGCTACAGTGTTTGTCGTACTCTGACCGATAAAGTGCACAGTACGAAGGTTCTGAATATGAAAATGTTTAATTGCGACGTTATTGGAAAATAAACCAGCGGTCGTTTTGTCCGAAGATGGAGCGGGAGTAGAAAAAAATGGTTTTGGCGTGGGGAAAGGTAATCTAAAATCGAATATATTAAACTTGCGGAAAACAAAAAAAAATCTCACTTCGCCTCTTCCAAATTTCTTTTACAGCTTTTTTCGAAGTTGATGCAAAACTGCTGAAGAACTCCGTCGAGCTCGACCCCCCGGCTTTCAGTGCAATAACTTGCAAAGTTTTTCTAAAAATTATTGATCAAAAAGGAAATCCTGAGTTAAAAACCTTGTACTTGTCACAGTAATCACGCTCATCTGGGTGATTGCGACGGGCTGCTTCAAGTTCCTCAATTTCCTGCTCATCAACGTCCTGAAAATTTTCAAGTTCAGCTTTTCACCACCGCGCGAAATTAACTCACGTCTTTGGCCGCGTACAGCCAATCTGCGAAGCCCTTGGACAGGCCGGCCACAGTCGGCCTCGTTGTCGTTACAGTTCGAGGCTGAAACCTACGAATACCTGAATAACTATCAATTATCCACTAAACAGGACGCCGTTGGCAAACTCACGGTGATAATGAGAACATAATTCGAGAGAAGGGTTCGCATCGCAAGCCCGCTTGATAAGAAACTCTCTGTCAGCCGATACATTGAAAACAGCTGAAAAGGTTAAATCAAAAATATATTTAAAGCCATATCGTAATTAGAAAAACTGTCGGACGGAAGTAAAACTTGCCTAGTGATGAAAAAATTGAGAAAAGTTGAACGAAATAAGAACACTTCTGCATTCTGAAGCCCCTGATCCCATAAACTGTTGAGAACAAAAAAGCCGTAGTGAAACTATGCCTTGCTTAGTGAGAACGGCCGAGGAGGATTCTTCCTAGACAAGATACCGATGCGTTGTTGCGCTCTTCTTATAAATGGCTCTGTTTATTACATCACACGAAAAACGGCGCACAACAAAAATAGAAAGAAAGCGATCTCTTGGCCTCGCTCTCAGTGGGCTAGAAAAATTACGCCTTCAGAGGACGTAGTTTGCCGCACGTCATTTTCCTTATCACAAAGAACTGTGACGTTTTTTGTAGTTGGTGATCGGTCTCTGAAAGGGCTTCCCCACACGAACTTCGCTTCCCTTGTGAGAAATCTAAACATCTGTTCTCTGGTATAACTATTTGACAAGGAAATTTGACTAACTAACAAAAAAAACTTCTCCACAATCATAAACACATAATATTGAGAAAAATAAGAATCCCAAAGTATAGAGAGGTTTTTTTAGAACTAAAAAGTCGCGAAAATTTTCTATTTCTGACACTTCCATTTTACTCTTCAAAAAGCGTTGGATTATAGGGGTGTAAAACTCTCATAACGTCAACGGAGTCATTTTCCGACTCTTTCATACTATTCCTCCATCCAGTCATATACTCTGTCCAGATTTAAAATTTGAAGTGAAGTAACCCCTTTCAAAAATGCTTGTTTATGCTGCGGATCTTCGCACGCTTTTCACACTTTTTAGTCATGCAGAAGCCCAAATCGTTTAAAAAAACGAGTGAAACAAGGGAGCACCCGCCGATTATCCGTCCTGCTAAACTGAATTTTTTTTTTCAATAGCTCACCTGCCGCAGCATTAGACGGCTGATAGCGACATATAAAGCTTGAGCAATGATATGCAACTAGAGTTCTGAACAGACCATATCAGACTTAAACGAAAAAAACTAACTTTTGAAATACGGTGCCACTAGGAATGCATCCTCAAGCATTTTTAAGACAGCTCTTAGGCGGCCGCTCATCAAAGGTCAATCGGGATATACAAATAGCTACCCGGTAGCTACTTCAAGATCAACTGCCGTTTGTTGATTGGTGGTCATTTATCAGCTACCGAGTATTCTTTCTATGGTTCCCTTCTTCTTTGGCTCTTTTTACCTGGCTTCTGCCTGCGCAGGCTTCTTCTCTTAGAAATGAGGCCCAAAGCTCGAACGAGGTCGGGCCGCCTAGACTGACGCGCAAGCCTGGCATGCTTATTTTTTTTTTTTCAACCTCCGCTAGTCTTGACAAAGTTCTCTCAGGTTCCTTTGAGGATCCTCAAAGGATTCTGAGAGGACGCTAAAAAGGTTCCTTTAAAAGCTCCAAAAATGATGTATTAAAAGCTTTTGAACTCCTTTTTCATAGCCTCAGCGGATCATTTTTGAATCCGCTCGAATCTTTTTAGTTGCTTCTCAGCATTCTTTTTGTTGAAGGATGTGAAAAAAAGGCGAGAATGGAATAAAATGAGATTAAAAATAATCTGCTGTGGACCCTTTCAAGGTTATTTTTGAGAAAAGCTTTTGAGGAAACTTTCTGCCCGAGTACCTGTATCGACCTCCCGATTGACCAGTGAGCGCCTGGCTGATGGAGAGCACCGACAGGTTACTCCTTTTTGCGTCCCGAGCTAGCCGTGAATCGGCTATTGAACGACTTCGCAAAATAGGCAAATTAAAATTCCGGCGGCCGTTAGAAAATTGGTAATTTGAAGTTTCGCGCTTGAAAGTCACCGAAAAAATCACATATCGCGATATACGGTTGTAGGACTTAATGTCCCCGTAGTTCTAATTGCTTTTTATGAGGATCTGTTTGACGAAAAACGCGTCGATTTTTAAATCAACCAAAATTACTTTGAAATCGCCATATAAGAATCGAGCGAAATGAAGCAACTTTTGCGCGCCGATGAGCACCTTTTTTGTTTTTTGCATTTCGAAAATTTTCCTCTTCTCCAATGTGTTCAAAGTTGTTTTCGCGAAATTCAAAATTACCTCTGACTTTCTAAAATTTAGTTATCTTTTTCACTTTCTGACGGCCTTCTGGGATTTCGCTAATAACTTTGAACACGGTATAATAGAAAGCGATGCATTGGTGACAGAGACCATGACGCCTATCCACATGCCCCCGTAAAAGCAACGTTTTTCCACTCAGGCACTGACGGCGCGTGTTTGTTGCCAAAAGTGCGCGAGCGCGCCGCCTGCTGCGCGCACGCGCAGGGGTGTCTCTTTTTGTTTTTTTAGCTTTTTAACTGATTAAAAAAAGTTATGAATTTCATATTTTCCATGTTTGTTCATCTCTTAAAAATTGCTCTGCTCGAGTTTATAAGAATTTGAACGCACAAAAAAATTTGAAATGCCAAAAATTTCACTTGGCAATGTTTTTTTCATAAATGTGTTCGAAAGTGCTCGGAACAACTTTTTAAAACGTGAGCAGGGGCACTGGGTAGTAATACAAAAATGTAAAAAATATATTTCGAAACTGTATTTCAATCGAAAATACGAAAAAAGAATCAGTACCCCCTGCGCGTGCGCGCACCAGTGCCTGAGCAATTTCTCAAATTTATTTTGTTAAAAAAAGTTCTTCTTCGAGTTCTTTATTCAAAAATATTCCCGTGTCGCACTTCTCGGAGACATATTCCTTCTTTTTCCAGATGATCACGGACTCAAACGATTGGGACAAGGTTTTAAGTGAATCCAGTGAGAAAACACGCCAGCTAACAGAAGAGGACAAAAATTAAAATAGAAAAAAACAGGTATAGCGCACTCCGCACCAACTTGTCCCGTTATTTTTTTTTTCTGAAAAAGATCGTATTGGACAAAATTTCATCATTATTTTCTTCAAGGCTTTTTTTAAATCTCGCTCTTCCATTTTGTGGAGCAAAAGTGCAGAAAATAGCTGTATTTACGGTTGATTTTTCTCTACTGTACATTCAAAATGTGACCGTCTTGTACAGAACAAATTATATTCACTCACTTCCCTTTATTCTGATTAATTGAGCTTCAGGGTTTAGTGGGAGACTTCAAGCAGAAAAAATTGGAACAAGAGGCACAGCGCAACTGGGACAAGTTTTACAACAGAAATGGAAACAATTTCTTCAAAGATCGAAATTGGAGCGGAAAGGACTTGAAAGATTTATGTCCGGATATCGACTTCAACGTATGTTAAGGTCCATCAGAAAATGAGAAATAAAAATGATATTCAGAATGCAATAAATTATATAGAGGCTGGTTGCGGTGTTGGCAACATGTTGTTCCCATTACAACGAGAATTTCCCAATTGGAACATGTTTGCTTTCGACTTTTCAGAAAAAGCTCTTACTTTGCTCAAAAAACGCGCCTCGGAACTGGGCGTGAGTTTTTTTTTCTTCTTGTTCAAATAAATGAAGTCTTCCTTGGATCATCAAACTGATAAAAACTTTTTCAAGATAATGTTTAATAAAATTGAAGATCAATGTGACATGCACAATGGTAGATCTGTCTGTGCTTCGAGAACAACCTCCGTTCGAAGAGGAATGCGACCTGGCTTCGCTAATTTTCGTTCTCTCAGCTATCCATCCCGAGAAGCAACTGATTGCAGTTGAAAACATGCGTAAGATAGTCAAGGTTTTCATTCAACTTGCTGAAATCTTGTGTATGGTTAGAATTTCGTCTTAAACTGGAGTTGGAATGAAAATTGAATTAAAATAATTTGAAAAAAAAATTAGGTTGGCGGAAGCGTGGTGGTTCGCGACTACGGCGCCAATGATCACGCCATGATTCGTTTCGGTCGCGGAGCTCGCCTGGGCGACAGATTTTACGCCCGACAGGATGGCACCCGAGCTTACTATTTTTATTTAGGTAAATTTCGTAATTTATCTTGTCCGGTTCTCAATATTGAATCAAAGTTATACAATTGAAAAAAAAATCTTTCAAGGTTTAATTTGAGCGCAATAACCCCATGGAATTATCATACTTCTTCTAGAGGAACTCGTCGAAACGTTCGAGAAAGCTGGATTTCGGTGTATTTCCAGTGAATACCTGCACAAGACGACGATTAACCACAAGAAGGAGCTGCAGGTGCCAAGGATATTCGTTCAAGCGCGATTCATCAGGAACAATTGAAATAAATGCGTTCATTACCCTATACGTTTTTTTTTTGGTTTGTTCAAGTTGCTCGTGTCAGCTGAGAGAATCGCGTCGACTGCTGATCGCGAATGATTCGTGCCGCCTGAAATCTCCTTTCTTTTTAATATTAGAAGGATACAAACCTGTTCAGGGGTTATATCACGTTGTTTTTCGGCAAAAACCTCGTATCCAGCCATATATTTTGGGATTGTTGCGGATCTGAAAATTTCGGCTGCTCTTTGATTGTATGGGGATTCGAAGTGGGAGATTTGAAGAGCAAATTTTAAGCTTTCCCTTTTTCTGAAAAACTTTTTTTTTCCTCAAAAAATTGCGTAGGATACTGTTACATGATTTAGTAGAATTATTCAAGTTCTATGAGACATTTTAGAGACCGCAAACCTAAGAAGAGGCGGATGAAAGCTGGCGTGAAGCTGCCAATGGTCGCAATTTTCAGAAAGAAACGGTCCAGTTGGCGCACCTAGCCATCCCATACTATAGGGAAATGTGCACTGCAATTTATTTTCAACAAAACTTTGGCTGACAATTCTTACGCGGAAGATATTGTCGTATCTTATAACGAGTTGCTGTAGAATTTCTGCAAGAGTCGCTTCTTCCTCCTGTCATCATAATTGATAAGTTGTTAGGGCTCAGGCCAACCGACGAGAAACAGACAAATGCCTTCCATCTTTTGCAAACCGCTTCGCACGCTGCTGCGTACAGCCCATTCCGCACCATCTTGTCACGATTATCCTTCTTCGATGCGCACGATATTAATCTCTACCTACGAATTTAAAAAAAAGGGAAATTTTGGCCAAATATTAAACGTATGCAAAGAATCCCACGCGCTTCGAATGGAGTGATTCTCTAGTTCGGAGGGAAACGAAAATCGTGACAAGCTGGTGCGGAATAGCCTATACGACCTAGGCCGGCCGACCATTCGAGCGGTCAGCTCTGGTTTTATTAAGTCTGTTCGAAAACTGTGTTGTTTGAAAGCGTGAATGTTCTAAAGAACCTCTCATAAATCCATAAAGAAATACAAATGGGCTCATTCACACTGATGCAAACTTATAATTTTTTTTTAATTATGGTATTTTCTGCAGTTTTCGTCTCAACTAAAAAGAGAACAAGAGCCCACATGTGTGAGGTCGGTGAACCTTAGTACATGTCGATTCGGTAGAAGAATCGTCTCAAACGGCCAAAAAGCCCAGAAAGGGACTAAAACGGTCCAGTTGTCATTGCGCAGGACGATCCGCTCAGCTCGTTCAACTTCTTGATTCAGGTAATCCAGCAAGAGAGGCCTTTTATGGCGGTCAAAATATCTCTGTCCATTCCCTCATTGATTCCATAATGGTTAAGATTCAACCTTCTGAGTTTTATTCTTTCGTTCCGGCAAAGTGGGGAGGAAATTGCCAGCCCAGAGCTGTCCATGGGGATGCATATTTGAACATCCCACAGCGGCTCCGCGGTTTTCGAAGATCTCAAGAAAGGTTCAAGCTCTTGCTATATGGGAAATTTCGGAACCAACTTGAACCCAGGTATGCTTCGGTTGCAGTTCAACGTATTGCTCTCGCCAAACCTTGACTACTTTCAAAACCTGAAATGTAACTTTCGTATAGGAAAACGCTTTGAATGTTAAGTGTTGAAAATATGCTTTTAAAATTAATTTTAACTTCCACTTTGAGCAGTTGGAAAATTTTCTTGCCCTGTTTGAGAACACGATAAATTGTAGAAAACCTCAAGGGGCTGCATCGTTGCTAATGTCACCAAACAGTCGGGATGGTAGCAAATAACGCGACAAACACCGCGGATTTTTTCTTGCTTGAATAGCTCGTCGTGTTCTGAACTGATCAGCAAAATATCATAAACTTCTTTTCACTTGTAACCGAATCACACTATAATATAGCATAACTTACAATATGCGCTGTAAATGTTCATTCAAAGAGTTGTACAAAATATCTGTCAAAATATTTTTCACATCTTTTTCTTGTCAGATTTATATTAGAAAAAAACGAAACAAAGAGTTTTCACTGTGTCACTAAACGCATCTGCAACCATGAAACCTCTCGAAGTTACCTTGATCTAATTTTCTATCTCAAATAAATAATACAAACCACTGGCATCGTCACGGTCGTCGTAGTCGGTGAAACTTGGAAAGTCATTATCGAAAACGTAAGTTTCTTCGTAATTTGGAGTCACCTAAAAGCTCGATTATTTTTTGGCACTGTTAAATTTGTATAGTCAACCCATTCCGACTTGAAAATGAGTTGGGTAGATTGGCTAGGGTGAATTATTGCGTACGCGAGGCGGTTTACGGCGGGAAAGTCGAAGTCAAGCGCGATTTTTGCAAACTCCACCAAATCTTTTTAGTTTTTTTCTTTTTTTCTTTGACCAGTTTTCACTGGTCAATCAGGAGGTAGGGATTAATAGCTAACGGGTAACTAGTTCAAAGTGAACTTTTGAAAATCGAACAAAAAACTGAATAAACTTCAAACTCATGCTTGCAACGAAGTTCAAAAGCTATAAGTCAACTCCTTTTAACTAATTAAGTTCTTTACTTGCCCACATATGATTTGAACACTCATGGAAACTTTTCCACGAACTTTTTTAACTGCAAATTAACATGAAAAATTTGAATACAACATTTTCAATACCTTGTCCGCGGATCGAAAACCGCCAGGAGCCAATGGATTGGAAGGCCCATTGGCTGCAAGCTTCAAATCTTCAACATTTTCGGAAGCTCCTTGCCAAGGACGATTGACTCGATTCGCCGCCACAATCACCCACTCGTCCAATAAAGGATTGAAACGGCGGTAGTTGTTCTGTTTTTCAGTCATCTGAGACTTGGAAAAAAATTCACTATTCTTTTTCTTGTCAAGTTTCCATAGAGAAGATTTGCAAGCGCAAGCAAGCTTTTTCGCATTTGAAAAAAATATTCATAAAATTCAAGTTTACTACAAAAAAACACTATAAATAGGAAAAATAACAAATATTACGTCGAAAACAAGAATAACCAAAATGTCCACAGCATTCAGCGCGAAGGTCGCGCTAAACATTTTGTGAGCGGAAAAAAAAAACACTATAAATGATCGTGATATATAAATTAATACTGCCGATGGGGGTGATGAAAGATCGTTCACTTCATTTTGAGCTGCTTCATTTTGGGCTGTTTCGATTTAGCTTCCCGCTTGAGTTCTTTCGCCTGTAAAAAAAAGAGTGTTTACAAATTCTACACAACATTCATGACGTGAGAGACTGAAAAAAAGAAAATTTTTTTTTTGCCTTATCCGGCAAGACATCAGCACTACCTCGAGGCGTCGTTGCTTTTCGGGGTCCTCTTCCTCCAATAGACGCTGCTTTCGTTCCCGCGTCTTTTCTTCACGTCGAGCCTAAAGTTTTCTACATCATACAAAACTTGCAAAAAAAAAAGTTGCGAAAATACCTGTGCAGCTTCTTGTCTGAATTGGTGAGTGGTGCGCACGAAATTCTCCTCAAATTCTTTTCGCTTCCTGTCAGCTTTCAATTTAGCCTCCTTGCTTAATCGTAGCTTTCGGACCTGAGAAAAAATATGACAAACAAAAATTTTTAGAGTTGGAACTTTGTCGACTAAGTAGAACACAAGGGTGAGAAGTTGTTCAACGGTCTCTTGGTCCTTTAAGTATTGCATGTTGAAAGAAAATATCAACAGGTCGCAGGTTTCCGGCAGCCTTGAATAGGTTTCTCCTCTGAAATTATAAAAAAATCCTTGACTTATAATTTTGCATGTTTTTAATTGCGACCCTTTCCGTTCAAAAAATTGATTCGAACCGTCAATTTTCTTTCGACAAAACCATTTGTTGTTAATATTTGATTCAACACCAAAGATTCTTCCGCAAAACAACTGAAACAACTTTTCAACTCAAATCACAGATAAATATCGAAAGGAAGGGTTTCAACGCTTCCAAGGAATCGCCGCACTTCACCGAAACATACTCTGGAGGCTTTTGGCCGCTGTATTGATCCGAAATGTGGATAAAGTCGATCGCCTGTTCGTGTTTCCGCAAAATAGTCACTACAGAGGGCTCAAGAACTGCAAACGCCGATTCCGATTGCTCGGAAAAGAGGGAAAAGCTGAAAAAAAAACGGAGTTTCCAATAAACTTTGATTTATCAAACCTGTTTGGTAAATTGAAAAGGGAGTTGGCATTTTTTCTTTCTGTCGCATACGAAGACAAGTCAAGCATATCCTTCAAAGGAAAATAAGAAAATTGAGATAATGGAAGAGTGTTTGCCAATTTTTATACTTTTCTTTAGTTAGCTCATGTTCAAGAGAGGTTTTTCTCAGCGTTTCATGTCAGATCGAGTGTTTTTTAGCATGTTCGTTTTCGAAAGGCTTGTGAACTTTCTAACTCAGGGCTGTACCTACTCTGTAAATGTTCATTTCAACCTAAATACACATTTTAACGTAAATATCGTTATTTGCAATAAGAAATTAACTTACAATAATGAAAATGTTTACTCGGATTAAGAATAATTTTTTTATCGCAAAATATGCACACAATCCAGTTAAAAAAACTGTCTAACTATTTGGGACGAAGGAATAGGAAGCAATATTGAAAACCAAGAAAATACTCGGATACTTTTTTGAAATCAAGTTTTCTTGCCAGCACACTCCCCAAGAGCTTTCCGGCGAGCTCTGATTTTTATAGCGGGTGCTCCCATAAGCTCACTGAGGATCTCTCCATGCCGCTTTTTTTCTGCCCACAAACCTTCACTTGCTTGCTAACAGCTTTCTTCTCGCCAACAGCCATCACCAGGGGGTCCATCTCGTTGGGGTCCAGCTGAACTTTGAGTGAAAGTTTATCCTCGGTCGGCTTGAACATATTCAGGACTCGGCTAACAAGATCTTGCCGTTTGACCATTCTCATCTGAAGGATACATTTGCCGGAATGAAAAAATGGACGAAAAAATTGGGGATGGCCAAAAAGCTCAAATGCTATTGAAAACAACGACATCAAATGAAAAATTTTGATTTGGAGCGTCTAATTCGACAGCTGTGGATTCGCCGATTTCAAAAAAAACTTGGGCTTTACCGAAATATGAAAATACCATCATTTCTTGTTGGAATAAAAACTTCAAAAAAAAATATCAACTCATGAAATCCTCACTGCTTCTTTTCGCTTTTTCGTTTCTTTAGAAAATTACACGTTCGGAAATGATGACATGGTCCCAAATCAAGAGAGATCAAGAAGTTCACCTGTAGGAGGAGCGAATGAACTCCTACACGTCCCGAACACCAAGCGGAAAACGAATAATCGGTTTCACGACGCAAACAGTCACCTACAGGGGTGTCACTAACGCCGTCGTCGCCCACCTGAACCACCAGTTCGTAAAATTTCTATCAAAAAAAAAACTGACCAAAGCAAACTGTTTAGAAAGAAGTTCTCTACAGTGATCGTAGCACTCAGTGGCGATTGTCTGGTTCTTATTGCGACCCAAAACGTATGTAACGAGGTACAACATGATAATGACTAGCACCAAGGCTTCTACTTGATAAGACGCCCAGTTGGATCGGAAATGGGCAGGAACCTGTTGAAAAAAGTTTTTGAGCAATCGCAACGGAACTTGGTAGGTACATCTTGAATAAAAAGGCCTATGAAAGAGCAGCGCTTATTTTTACATGTGTTGAAACGTTCGCGTTTTTTTTTCTCTGAAGTTAAAACTAAAGGGTGAGAGGCCAGAGAAATTCAAGTTATATATAACCAAGAAACTTTATTTTTAGATCCGGCAAAAAGCGGGAAAACTTTTGAAACTAACGTCCGCGAATTTGAGAGGTTGAGGTGGTACTTGATCTTCGACGGTGGTCGCTTCCTTGCCATTTTCCGAGTCTTCATGTTCTTCGTCAACAATGCCAAAATCATCGTCGTCAAAATCTCCAGTCGGCTTTTATAAAAATGAACGTCGCTCGATTTTAAATGAGAAATGGTACCTGCCCCTTCTCCTTTGGCTTTTCCATGCGTTCTAGCACTTTTTGTGTCGTAGGAGCTTCTACATTCTCAATAACAGCTTCGTCTTCCTGAAAAAGCATGGAATAACGCAGTTTTTGCTGAGATAATTATCAAAAAAAAAAAACAACTTTTCGATATCTTTAGGGTCGGTTTAACCGTGTAATTTGATCAAGATGAACGTGTCCTCACCGAACGCGTCAAAACGACAAAATATACATATTCCAAGTGATTCGATGCCAACCTCAAACTCTGCGAATTCATTCTCTTCAGTAGCTGCGACTGAACTCAACGATCCACTCGCCAGAAGAAAGATCCATAAAAACCACAAGACAGCGTTCATAAATTGTCCTGTAGTAAATCGCATATTTTAAGTTAGAAGTTAATAAATTGCATTGCTGATTTAAAAAACGTAAGCCTCAGATAAACTCAATTAAACAGAGTTGGAAAATTTTTTGAGTGTCCTAAAAAAAAAACTCATTTCCATACCAAACTTTCTTGCAAGTTCAAACTCTCAAATGACTTGAAACATGCTAGAAAGGATAATAGTGCGTTCAAACCTAGTTTGACACACGTGAAAAAAAAACAGTTTTTTCTCGTTCAAAAGCACGAGCCTAGTCGCATAGGAACGCGGCTAATCCCCTCAATTTGATTGGTTGGCTCCGCCCGAAAAACAACAAGAAAGTTTTGAAACAAAAATCCAATCACTCTGAGGGAATCCGGTGCGTTTCGGCGTGAGCCGTTCGACCCAAAAAAACTGTTTTGCTTCGCGCCTCAACTAACTTTGAACACGGCATGTACAAGTTCTTAGTGCTGAAAAGTGACCCCAAACGAGATTTTATGGCGCGCTCATCGACAAAATTAAACTGGCTCTGAAACTCTACAAAAATGCTTCAAAACAAAAAGTAGTACTGTTTCGAAGCAAATTTGAGGACCCGATTTCGACTCTTCTGCCGTTTGTCCGATGAATACTCCACATTACGCGCCGTGGAGCGGAGTTCCCTCGAAAAATTTTCGGGAATTTAAACCGCCAAGTCTGTTTTTTTGTTTTTGTTTTTTCGTACCTCAGTAAAGCTCATTCCGCACCACCTTGTCCCTTTTTTTCTGTGAGAAAAAAAAGGTTTACCAAATCTTACCGAGTTCGAAAAAAGCTGTGTTTACCTTTTGCTTCTTAAGAGTGCTGAAATCGTTAAAGTAATCTGGAGAAATGCTCAGAAAAATCCGGAGCGTACTGAGGTCCGAATTTATAAATGGAAAAAAAAGCCAGTAAATATCGCAAATAAGAAGCCTGCTCTTCTTTAACCAATAACGGAACGTAGGGACAAAATAGACTTGGTATCTTTGGTGCATGATACAACCAGCAATCAAAAGAGATTTAAAGTTCGAAGAACGCTACAGATATATCTTTATTTTACAAAACCCTTCTTTACGAGTACAAAAATTGGATGGCAATCGGTCAATTGTGCGTGGTGAAGATGAAAAACTAATTACAAACAAAACCGCGGAAATTCAATTTGAAGCGGAGCGCTGTGGTGAGCTGAGGTTCCCCTCGAGGCGGTCAAGGATCTGATTGGCGCAGGCTGGTAGTCGAGTTCCAGGCCCAAAAACCAGAGCGACGCCTGCCTTGTAGAGCTCATCGTAATCCTGAGGGGGAATCACGCCGCCAGCCACCACCAAGATGTCCCTAAAGAGATTTTGTTCTATAAACTTTATGGAATCCGACATTATAGAAGTGCAACTAACTAGGGAACGTTTTTTACCCCTTTGATGAGATTTTGCTGAAGTGTACTGTAAAACCTTCTCACTGCATAACAAGAAAAAGAAATTATCGCAATAGATCTCGTTTACGAGTTGAAACCCTTTAAAAGCTTGAAAAAGCCCCTTTTTGTCATAATTTGCGTATTTTGCAATCTATGAAGCTCCATAAGACTGCCAAAAAATATTTTCTTTGACAGAAGAGAGAACAAAGAGACCATTTTTTGATCTAAAAAAAACTGACGGTCGGCCCAGCCTTTTCAGCTCGTCAATGAGCTGCGGAATGAGCGTAAGGTGTCCCGCGGCGAGGCTGCTTGCCCCGACGACATGGACGTCGGCGTCGACGGCCTGTTGTGCCGCTTCTCCGGGTGTTTGGAACAAGGGCCCCACATCCACGTCAAATCCTAAGAATTTCCTTCTACAGAACATCTTATCGAGTACAGTTTTTCTCGTCTTTTTTTTTGAAACAAATCTCAATTCACTTAATGTCGATCAATCCAAACAACTGAGTTCGTACCGAGGTCAGCGAATCCGGTTGAAATAACTTTTGCGCCTCGATCATGCCCATCCTGACCCATCTTGGCCACCATGATTCGCGGTTGACGTCCTTCTTTGTCAGCAAACGACTTTACACGTCCGAGAACCTCAAATCAAGCAAATCTGTTCTTAAAGAAAATCAGAAATAATTTTTTGACTCCTGCGCATTTAAACAACTCAATCCAAACTCTAGTTTCTCGCCATTTTCAAAGAGTCTTATAAAAAACCATCTGGTACCATTAAAAACCTATATTTTTTTGAAATTTCGAGTTTTTCAGCGTTTTAGTCAAATTAGTAAATCAAAACTACAAAATTCTTATCTCGTCTCAAAAACGCTCAAAAATCTGGTATAATGAAGTACTTTTTTAAAATCATTTTGTAGACTTGAATTCCTCCGAGATGATTTTGAAATTCCCTTTTTAGAAGTGGAATAAATCTATATAAAAAGTACCTGAGCGATTTCGTCCGTTTCTCCAAATTCTGATTTGTAGGCTCCAGAAACAAGGCGGTTGACGGCGGCGTGCCTACACAGAGTTAGCACCGTTCAAAAAAAAAAAAAAAAGAAAAGGACCTCACCTAGAGAAAACTTTTTCCAGAGCGTCACTGATTTCGCCAACGGTGCAACGGGCTCGAGACGCATCAACAGCCAACTCGAGCAAGTTTCCCTTGCCAGCGGCAGCCTCAAAGAAATAAAAACTCATCAATCAACAAAAAAGTAGAGCAACGGAATGTTGCACGTATACAGTACCGCCAAAAAAGTTACGAAAAAAAGCTTTTTGATCAAAACTTTCTTGAATGTAGTTTGATCTTTCTGGAACCTTCGGGAGTTGTGATTATTGATATTTGTAACTCTCTGGAGGGATTTCAGCTCGGAGAGGAAGAAAAAACACGCAGCTTTGAAGATTTTCAAAAAGATTGAGCCTCATAAAAGGAGGATGTGAGCGAAAATCTTATTTTTATCTTTTCTGACGGTACTGTACATGATATCTGATCATCGTTTCTCTAATCAAGCTCAATGATGGCTGAAGCCTAAAATTTCTTTTTTTAGTCGTTCCTTTTTCTCGGCGATCTTCTATCTGAAGCCAACCTTCGTGAGAGCCTGAAGGGCGTCTTGAGCTCGTTGCGAATCACGGGTTGCTCGGATCTGCTCCAGCTTCTTGATTTGGCCCTCGCGCACGTGCTTGTTGTCAATTTTCAAGACTTCCACACGCTCTTCCTTGAAATGAAGCACTTGACTTTTTTTTTTTAAGATCATTGATTTTTTTACATGTTCCAATCGATACTTGTTGACTCCAACGATGACGTCCTTGCCGGAATCAATTCTTGCCTGCTTCTTGGCCGCTGCTTCCTCGATCCTCAACTTGGTCATCCCAGACGCTACGGCTTTTGCCATGCCTCCGAGCTCGTCAATTTCATGAATTATCTGTAAACTTGGTCCAACTCAAAAGATCAGGAAGTGCAAAGCTGATTCTCAAAATATTTCGCGCCATTGAAAATTAGCGAAATTTGAGAGGAAACTGATCTCAAAAAAAATGTTAAAAAAATTACGTTTTTTTCATGTGGATTAAACGGTGACAACGGAGAGAAAGATCAAGAAAAAAAACTAGCGGAGAAAAAGCTAACCTCCATTGCTTTATTGTAGATTTCGTCTGTCAGCGATTCCATCATGTAGGACCCTCCCCAGGGGTCAGCCACCTTCAAAACAAATCATGATTATTCAAAGACCAGGCAAACGGGTATTTTGCCCACATTTCAACAGACGATTTGCAACAGCTTGCTGAAGGAAAAAAAAAACGAAATTCAAAAGGTAAATTCAAAAAGTCACCTTACAAATTCCGCTTTCTTCTTGAATGATAATCTGGGTGTTTCGGGCAATTCGTGCTGAAAATTTCGTCGGGAGGCCGAGGGCTTCATCGAGGGAATTCGTGTGCAACGACTGCGTGCCACCGAAAACCGACGCCATCGCTTCGATCGTCGTCCGGACCACGTTGTTATACGGATCCTGTAAACCTCGTATCAAATTAGTTTTCCATTTGCGAAGATTGCTGTGTGTGGAAGTTCGTATTAGGTGTGTGTACTTCTTTTCCGCGTTTTTTAATTTATATTTCAAAATTTTTTGGTCTTTGCTTTATAATAAGTCAGAGTGAATAGGTAATCGAATTAAAAAAATGTTTTTTTATAGTTGTAATCTATTTCCATAAAATTGAAGATTACTGTATGTGGAGGTGTTCAGACAACTGGGAGTTTTCCATTTGTGAAGATTACTGTCTGTGGAAGTTCGTATTATATGTTTTTTTATAGTTGTAATCCATTTCCATAGAACTCAGAAACTTTTAGAAGAATCTTACTAGCTCCCTCTCAGGATCTTCTGAAGATCTTCAAAGAAACTTTTCCGGTTTACTTATGTGAAATGAAAACGAAACTTTTTGGTCTCACCAAGAGCATGCTACGCAATAAAAAAGAATCCCTTTGAAAGAGATCTCACCTGCTCAGTCAGGGACCATCCACTTGTCTGAGAATGCGTGCGTAGCATTTCGCATTTGTCGCTTTTCGGAGAAAAGCGTTCCTTGATCAAAGTGGCCCATAAGCGACGAGCAGCGCGCATCTTGGCGATTTCCTATGGTAGTCGTCACGAATTGGACATCATAAATTCGAAAAAACCATGTAGAAGTTCATTCCAATGCCCCAGAAAAAGGAAAGACGCGGGGCAAACTGATCGATGGTAAGACCGGCATCGAGACCTGTCTGACAGTACTGAATTCCATCAGCGATGGTGAAGGCCATTTCGAGAGCTGCACCAGCTCCAGCCTCCTGAAGTCTTGCGGTACACGTATTCACCGATCAGAAGTTTCAAAAGGAAAACAAACCTGCATATGATAGCCAGAGATCGAGATAGAGTTGAACTTTGGCATTTCCTTACTCGTGTAGGCGAAAATATCTCCAATGATCCTCATGGAAGGTTCCGGTGGATATATGTACGTGTTGCGGACCATGAACTCTTTCAAAATATCGTTTTGAATGGTTCCCGAGAGCAATTTCCTGGCGACGCCCTTAAATTATGAGGTTCACGTTTCCTTTCATGGAGAAATGAAAAAACCTCACCGATTCCTCGGCGGCAACAATGTACATGGCAAGGATAGGGATGACAGCCCCGTTCATTGTCATTGATACACTCATTTTCTCCAAGTTAATGCCGTCGAAAAGCTTGAAAGTCAACGTTTTCAAGGTATACGATAAGGGGCTTGAACCTGTTTCATGTCTTCAACCGAGTCAACAGCAACACCGGCCATTCCAACGTCACCAAATACACGAGGGTTGTCCGAATCGTATCTATAAAAAATTCAAAGTCAAATATTGATCAGTTCACTATTTGCTGCAAAAACATTTGCCGGGTGAACTTGATGCCGCGTTCAAAACAGTGCCACGACAAGAACGCGTTTTCCAATTTCGAATTTTTTTTTCATTTTGATTTTGAACTTTATCGGAATGGATTATAATGTCAAATTTTGCTTGACAACTTAGTTTTTGAAGTAAAATATTTATTATATCCTAATACGTAGAAACGATCACATAGCTTATGGCTGTTTGCCCTTATGGTCTTTTGAATTTTGAACTTTATCGGAATGGATTATAACAAAAGGAATCTGTTAGAGTGCAACAACTATTCATTCTAACCTGTTAAAAAAATCAAAACTAAAAGCAGAGAAGGATAGCTCAATTTATTCGAAGAAAAACGCGTTCTTTTCGTAAAATCTTCAAAAGTTGCTTGAGAAATCTGAGGAAGCGCGGCCGCAGAAGTCACTTGAAAATCCTGTACCCCTGTAAAAATATTTTTATCCTACGACGTGCGCCTCAGAAGCTTTGATCACGACATGAATAATTTCGTTGTACAGCGCTCAATCAATCGAGAAAAAAGAATCACCCTCGATGTGTGGCCAAATCAAATGCCACAGAGAGCCCTTGCTGGCCGGCTTTGATATTTTCCTTGTAGAACTTGTTCGATTCTTCGACAGTTGAAAATCCGGCATATTGTCGGATGGTCCATGGTCTCTGAGTGTACATGGTGGGGTAGGGTCCGCGAGTGAAGGGAAACTTGCCGGGAAGCTGAAACAAGAGAGAAAAAAATGAGCGTTAGAACTCTGAGTTACCATTTTAACAAGAGGTACTTAGTGCAAGTTATTCTTCTAAAAACGAAAGAAAAGAGCCGTTGTAGAGTAGATCTTTTAATTTGTTTTTGCACTCTGAGTTGAGTTCAACTGTATTGAATAGGTCTTTATAAGAGGCGCTTCACGTTGGTATGAATGAATATTGCTTGTCACTGACACGCTTTTTACTCGTTTTCTTCAAACTTTCTTCTCAACGCATAGAACATCACCAAATGCAATTATTCTTTCAATCATTTCTTCAAAACTTTTGCAGTCGACTGATTTTTATACCTCAGGCTCTCGATGTTTGTCGCACTCTCGGTCGGTCGCCAGGTAGAGGGGCTTTATTGGAATGTCCTCCGGTGTGTTCCAAATCAGTGTATCCGCCTCGCGCCCCTGGGTTCATGATTCGTGTCGAACTACTTATCAGGAAGAAGAAAAGAGAATAAAGCAGGGAACGGATTTTCTAGATTTTTTTAAACTTTTAATTTGAGCAAAGACTCTGCAAATGGACAACTTCAGCGTTGTTGTAGATTCGTTGAAGAACTTTTGTTACCTTCATAGCCTTTTTGGCCATTGTCGACCATGTTGGGTCAATCGGTTTGCGCACGTATGTGTTTGAAGCATACCGACAACTCTGAAATGAATTCTGTCTGTAAAATATTGTGTTTCACTTTGTATTCAAGAGCTTGGAGGAGGAAAAACTTACTCGAGAAACTGTCGCTTTCAGCAAGCGCATCTCTCTGAAATTTATTCTGTTATTTCAAAACTTCTTCAAGTTCAATATAGTCTGTTCAAATGTTAATTTCGTCGCTCAGCGTTTTTGAAGGAGGCCACCGTACTTTAAATTCAAGTTCATAACAGACTATATAGCCAATTCCGAGCTGGGCTGTCAGACTTTTGTTTTCCTCCGAGCTACACAACCTTCCTTTCGATGCGCGCGGCCTGTCTCTGTGCATACCCTTTATTCAGCCTTAAATTTCTGTTATATTAAAGGCGCACGCACATAGACTGGCCGCGCTTTTGGAACGGCAGGGCTCCGTGGTCGGGAAAAACAAAGATCCTGACAAGCTGACGCGGAACGGGCTATAATGGAATGGGCTGTAACCGCGTTCGAAATAATTTCCACGAAAAGATTATCTCTGACTCTCCAAGATTTAGTTGTCTTTTTTTACTTTCTGACGGCTATTTTGAATTTCGGCGAATCACTTTAAACACGGCGTAAACCTATGAATGGAAAGTGAAAGGACGGACAGGAAAACGTCACGGAACAGTTTAATAAATTTGAAATCAATGTATAAATTTGAATTCAATGGGGATTTTTGACATGAGAGGATTTTAAAGATTTTATTATCAAAAAAATATTCAAGTGCAGATTCTCGACGAAAAATTTTTTTCATTTGAAACAAAAAAAGTCGAGAAAACGTGCAAAAGCAAGAGAAAAAATGCGCAACAAACAAAAATAACACAAGACGAGAGCGATCAATCGCCCGACGCTCGTGCCGTTTTCTCGTTCTTATTTTTTTCTTCGTACGTGAATTTGTCTCGAAAAATATAGTAACAAACTACACCTTCATTCGAAAAAAATGTAAAATTGATCAAATAAAAAAAATAAAAAAATCTGAAATAACTTTTTTTATCCTTTATCCAGTGTTCAAAGTAATTCCGCGAAATACAAAATGACCGTCAAAGACTGAAAAGGATAACTAAATTTCGGAGAGTCACAGATAATTTTGCGTTTCGCGGAAACTACTTTGAACACCGCATTAAAACTATAAATGTTCTTTTTAAGTATCCATCATTCTTTCAAGTACTTTATGATTTTTATTACTAGACATCGATTCAAAAAGACTCAAAAAAATTTTTTTAAAAAAAAGTTCATTTCGAAAAACCATAATACAAGAAGTTGGTCAACAAATCAAGGTGTGAATGACATGAGTTTAAAGCACCAAAGTGATAAAGGCTTCATATTTTGCGTGAACATAATTATTAAAGTGTTTGTAACACTGAATAACGATTTTCAAGAAACTGACAAGAAATTCTGAGAAAAGGATAAATAAAGACAGGAAGCAGGAAAATGGCAGTAAGAATAAGGCGAAGCGCAGAAGGCAAAAAATGAGAGTGAGCGAATTGTGGTAAAATTGACAAGTTTTGATTTAATTCAGAGTAAAGTTGAACAAAAAAGATGATTAACAAGCAAAAAAGGTTACTCACTCGTAGATATTTGGTCTTTTTCAAAATAAAAAAGTTTGGTATAATTACATGGCCTTCTTTCCTCCAGCGTAGACAGGGTTTTTGAAAGTCGTCGTCGCTTGTTTGTAGATTGGATTCTCGTTCTGAGAATTCCGATAGAGAGACTTTTTTATTCATTTTTTTCTGATTTTTGAACTTATAAGCTCTGAATATAACAAAATAGAGTGTAAAATATTTCACTATTTGTTCTGAGTTTGAAAACAGAAAGCAGAAATCATCGAATCAAATAATATAAATTTTTTGGCCCACATACCGTGTCCCACTTGGCCATGAGGCGTTCGTTGTTGAACTTGGCGTACTCTGCGCGGTCGTGCAAAACGGTGAGGAACTTCCACAGGAAAAGCAAAACCATGCCCAGAATTACGATTCCAGCTATTACGCCCAGAACAATCGCAAGAACAGGCACTGGTGGTGGACAATCTGAGAGGATTGATTTATTGAACTTCCTTTATTCATCCCTTTCAAAGTTTAATATTCTCAAAAAATATATTGAAATGTGATAAATATTTTTCAAATTACAGGTACCGCGTTTATTTTTAAGGTGCAACAGATTCTACCTTTTATGCCTGCGAACCCAAACAGTGGCATTGTCGGTTGCGTCGTCATAATAGTAAAGATAATAGAAAGTGCAGTCGTCGGCAGGGTCCACAAACTGACAATGCGTCGTATCATTGATCACTGGAAAGAAAAAAAAGTTTTTTTGTGACGGAAAAAATTATCAATTCTGAGGAAAAAAATATGAATTAAACTGGAGTTGGAAATATATTTTTAAAATCCCTATTGTTTCGTGTACACGTTTTTGAGATCACAATAGCTTGCTGGAGTGATCAGAACGGGGCGATTGAACGTTTTTTAAACGGTTGTTGCTTGAACTGTTATTTAAAAATAACAGTTCAACCAACAACCGTCTAACACTCCAAAGTTTGTTTTTTGAAAAAGTATACTAGAGAAGTGTCATCAACGATTCTATAGGGAAAATTGTAATTCTCAACGCGATACCTACTGGAAGCATGTATATGCAAATCATTTTTGAAGGCCGCCAGCCCCTCCACCCACGCCTTCCTAAATTGAAGTTGGTACTACCTCTAAAGGGTAAAACTTATTTTATTTCCGTCAGCACTCCCTTCCTTAGGTTCTTTTACAACCTTTTTTCTAAAGTTTTTTAATGGTACGAACTATCTTCTCGGACATCTTTACTTGCCCATGTATGACTGGAGTCATTTCTTTAGCGTTTGACCACATCAGCAAGCATTTTCGATCAGACTGTGATCCCTAATTTTTCGAATTGAAACAATAATCTCCTATGTTTTCGTCGACCGTGTCGTTTCCATGAATTACCTGGCAGCTCGTCGACAGGTATCACCTTGAAAGGACATTGATCGCAGCGCGTCTCGTTGAAAGGACCAGTTTGCCATTGCTGACACATCACACAGGGCTTGTATTCAATGCATTTGGTTGGGCATGTCTGAAAATTTTTAAATAGTACATGAATGTATAAAATTTTTTTTAGAGAAACATTTTTTAAACAGTTACAGAAAAAATAGCAACTTTACCGAACAGAAAGACGTATAAATCCAAGCGCATATTAAAACTGTGATCCAGAAAAGATTAGCAAATAATTCACCGGGCAAATCTCGCATTTAGCTCCGGAGAAACGATTTCCGTCGGGGCCGTCAAAGCAACGACAGCGACCACAGATGCATTCTCCTTTGCCATTGCAAATCTTTCCATTGGCAGAAAGACACGAATCCGTCGAAATCGGACATTCGCAGGCTCTTCCTGACGTCGAACTTTGTTGATAATCAGCGCGAACCAAACCAAAATGATACCTGTCCATCCTGGAGCGCAAATGCACTTGCCGCAGTTACACTCGCCGTGCTCGGCGCAGATCTTGCGGTCGTGTCGGGGGCAATTGAAGTTGTCGCACTCGCAAAACTCTCCGGAAATCTGTTCTTCCGGGTTCTTAATTTATTTTTCTTCTTCAGATCATGAAATGATGTATAAATTTACCGCTCGTGGGTTGCATTCGCAACGACCGCAGTTGCAAACTCCGCGACCTTCACAAATAGCCGATTCATTAGTTCTGAAAGGAAATGTTACGTGTGCTATCGCTTATTCAGATTTGGAATGTCAAGGACTCTGGCACAGACTTTTTCATGTCGATTGATTAGCTTCTAACAAAAAAACTTTTTATTTATGATATTTTTTTGATCTAACAGCTAGGAAAAAGAAGCCAAACCGGGTAAAAAAACTTTATATACTGGTTTTGATTTTTTTGGAAAAAAATCTCTAATATGAGCAATAAAGAGCAAGTGGTAGATGTTAGATTTTTAAAAATGAAATAAAAATTGTTATAAACCTTGTGACAAACTTTGACTGAGTTCCGCTAATTTTTTGCCGAGAGATGAACATTCGAGGTATTTTTACCGAAATCTTTTGAGCTACCGTATCTCAAAAACTAGCCGAGTGACAATATTTGGTTTTGTTTTCAAAAAATCCTAAAAATGGTGTTCTACAACATATTTGCAGAAAGTTATCGTAACGTCCTTTTTTCCCAACTCAGCCTGAACCCAAAAGGCGCAGAACAAGTCTTATGGGTTCAGCGCTATCAAAAGAGCGGGCGGAGGTCAGGTTATAGCACAGCATAGACGAAGCATCAACTTTTTCGCCCCGTCTCTCAATAACAAAAAGAAACGAACCGCTTGCATTTCTCGTTGAGGGCAGCGGTACTCATGCCGGGTCGGTTGCATTCACAGTACTTTCCGACGTTTCCTCCTTTGCATCTACACACGCCGCAAACCATGTCTCCACCATGACATTCCGCCGAATTCGTCACGATTCGATCCTAAACTTGCACTATTGTAACAATCGCCCTATTTTTCAATAGTGAAAAACATGATTGGGTCGTTGTTTTTGTTTGCAAGCGAAACGAAGAAAAAAAGAAAGGAATAAAAAAATTCACCTGATGCTCACAGTCACAATCGCAAAGAACTTTGACATTGACGATGAGAGTCTCGTCTAGTCCAGAAGGCCCTATTCTGAGTACAAAGTCTCGCTGCTCAACACAGTGCGTGTCCTCCAAAGTCACTTCAAACTGCACTTCGTCACCCACTCGGATTCCTTCGCAAACGTTTGTATCGCGCAGAGTCGTCCCACTATAAATTTCAAGTGAAATTACAACTTATGAAGCGCTCAAAGCACTTTAAAGTGCTGACACTGAAGGTATTTAGAACCTCAATCTGGAACTTTTTTTTCATGTAAAACAATCGATATTGAAAGCACATGAACTTTTACTTCGTTGTGGCCTGTACTAATTTAAAATTTTCAAAAGCCTCGCGGCGAACAGAGCTGTGCACTTGGAGGCCATAGTGTTGCAACGGGATCGCTAAGCGGTTGAAAATACGCCACGTTTCGAACCATGACTATAGATTCGGCCATCTTCCCCGGCTCAAAGCGCAGCTCCAACGGCAAAAAAAACTTTTTCAGTTTGTCAAATTGAGCTGATATTGACTTGTAGGCCGTTTGAGCAGTGAGTTCCGACATGACTATAGTTCTTTATGTCGACTACTCGATTTTAAGACCTACTCCAGACACATGCTGCGGTAGGTGAGCTTCAGGCCGTCCGTAGCGTTGGCATTGTCGACCATGATGATCTTCTCACTGATTTTTAAGTACTCCTTTTCGATAAGGTCAACGATGTTCCGTGAATCCTCGGCCAAAACTCCTACTGAGGAGGAAACGTCAGGAAGAGCGCCCGACAACTAAAGCAAAAGAAATAGGCCAAAAATTAACCAGTGAAAATCTGGGGAAGGCTTATCTCGTTTCATCACGTTGAATTAACGAAAAGTGTAAATAAAATATTTAAAAAAACGTCGAAATTCTCCTAGTACCTGATTATAAAGCTCTTGGTTGTTCTGCGTGACGGCGAAAATGACGTTCGCTTTCCGCTCTTTGATCATTTGATGAAGAAGAGCAATTGACGGGTAATCCTAGAATATTGTATTTTAAGGATAATGGAACAAAATGAAAACCTGAGTCAATGTTTCGGTGTAATAACCTTCACGGTCAAGGTGACAGGATCCATCGTTTGGTTCAACAACACCCGCGAGCTGTAAAATTCGAGAATCGATTCCTTTAAACTACAAAAAAAAAACTGACTCTTCCATCCCCGGCGAAATGAAAACCTGCATCAGTCGAGAAAACGATCATTTTTCTGGCCCGTTCTCTCCATCCAATAGTCTTCTGAAAACTGAGGCTTTTCCTTAAAAAATAAAGTAATGTCACCAATTTACTCTATTACAGAATGTGAGGCAAAAAACAAAAAGGAAAAATGCAAATTGAAAAATTAGATAAACTAATTTATTTTACGAGAAAGTTCTATAAAGTCAATTTGTCATGCTTCATTTTTCATCGAAATGTGGATTTGTTCACAAAATGTACTTTCATTCTGAAAAATATAAATCGGAGAAGCAGCTGGTCGTCGGGACTATTGTTTTCTATGAGCTTTATTGAGATTTCCGGAATCTCCGCAAACCTACACACATTTATTGCGACCGCTACCATACATTGTTTCTGCGTTGAACCCCTTATTGCCCTACATTTTTTTTACTCCAACATTGTATTGGTAATTAATTTTTGTTCTAGAGTTTTTGTAGGAATGCTGGTAAAGACAGTCGTTTCGACCACTTTTTTAAAGTGGCCATTTTTTAAAACCCTGAAGTTTTTTTTAAATCTAAATTGTTTGAGGGTCCAAAATGCGTAGAATTCTATATTTTAGTAAGGTCTGAAGTTTCGAAAAACCAAATATTGGCGGCCGAAATCAGGAAGATCTGTGTTTTTTTTTGAATAAATTTCTTCTCAACCTTTTTGACTTGACCTAAAATCGAAATGAGTTAGGTGCGAAATAGTGTTCATGGAGATTTAAGAGCATTTTTTGGCGAAAATAGAAAAATTCAGAAAATAGAAGTTTTGTAAATTAAAAAACCGGAATTTTTGAAAACTGACTTCGAAACTAGTCATAATATGAAGAATTACGTACTTTAAAACCGTTAACACCTCAATAAAGCGTGGAAAACTGTAAAAATAGGCATCATAAAAAAGCGACCGAACCGACCGACTTTTCCAGCATGCGTTTTTTTGTATAGTGTTCAAGTTGTATAATTTTGTTTATCGTATAATAAATATTATATACTAAAAAGAGTGCTATCCATCTTTCGCACTATACAACAAAGTCTAATTGTTGCAAATATTGGAGAAAACGACCATGAAAGGAGTCAAAACTTCTGAATGAGGACAAACGCACATTACAAGCCAAAGCCTGCACGACAGCGTCGAAGCCGCCTTCAGGAGCGTCCAAATTTCCGGATATTTCGGCCTTGTCAACTTCAGCCTACAAAAACATGTGAAAAAAACCGAGGAGCGGAATTCGAAAACTTTGAACTTTGCCGTATTCGTCGTAAGCGACATTTGGTGCTTGAAGCCGTAGGGTTCTGCGCAAGGAGTCGGGCAAGGGGAACGCTGTCTGCAACAGGAAACAATTTTCCAGTTCAACATTGTGGAGCAAACTTCTCGATTCGCGGATCGATGAAAGGCATCAGTTTCTTGTCGATGAACGAACCGAACCCAAGACGGAAGTTTTTGGTGACCGTTCTCATCCGCTCGGCTAAAATAGACATTTTGACTCGATTTGTCCCTCTCAGAAAAAAAAAACCGATTAAATCTCCAAGTTCAGATAGCTTCTGTTTGTCGTCTTTCATGGAATACGACAGGTCCATCAAATAATAAAGATCGACGGGATAATCTACAGCTTGCCGGTAAGTGACGTTGAATCTTACACGAGACTCTAAAAAATCAGTTGTATTCAATTTGAAACTGAAAGAAAAGCAAACTTGGCCGAATCTCGATGAACATCTCCTGAGGCTTGATTTGAACGGCTTCTTCTTCTGACTCGACCTGACCTTGATCGGAAAGTTTGTTATCCTGTAACCAGAAACGAATTTAACGCCATTTCGTGATGAAGATAAAAATGGAATCTTTTAAAAATTTGGTGGTAAAAAAAAAGCCAACGAATATTTTAGCGGCGTCTTCTCCGATTTTTTCATATTGCTGCGGAACTTTCCAACGGAGAAGTTGCCGACGAATCTTTTTCCGACTTTTTTTCCCTGATTTTTTTGTTTCATAATTTATCTATTAACATTTTTTTCGTCTATTTCTTTGTGTTTTTAATAATGGATCAACTACCTACTTCAAATAGGAAGATTCAAAAAGTAGAGTTTATCGAAAAAAAAGTCGTGAAACGATTAGTCGGAAATTTCTCTATCGGAAAGTTCCGTAGCGATATGAAAAAAATCGGAAAAAAATCGCCGTCCGCAAGTTTGCTGGCTTTTTTTTCATACCATCAAAAAAATTTAATAGCTTTTTAATTTTTTTGAAATTTGAATTTAGAAAAATTTTTTTTCATTTGATTTAGTAAACAATTATTTTCTATTAAAAAAATTCGAGTCACAGCTCTATACTGAGACTCGAAGTAGTAAAAAAATTTCAGAACTATATTTCTTATACCTCAGTGACTTCGAGCTTTGTTACAGGATCCTCGATGTAGCCCTCCGAACAACCGTGTTCCAATAACTTTTCGCGATTATCGCACCTAGCGTACGGCTTCTTCTCGTCAAACATCTGAACAAGAAAACCAATTCAAAATGCCGATCTTTATCGACTTACAGGAGCCCCACACCAAGCACAAGAATCGTGAAACTGAATGCAAGCGGAGCACGTGTAGTTATCGCGGGATAGCGAATAACACGGAAAATCTCTCTTGCCTTCCAGCACTTCTCCGCTCACTTGAAAAAGTTTTTTTTTACCTTTTTTTTATACTACTTCGTAAATCACATACATATGAAAAACTAAGTTCCAAAAAAATGAAATTAAACATACCATGGCCCGTTTTCCAATCACTCACGTCCGCCGCAAAGGCTGCGGTCAAGAGCGAAAGTAACGGTAAAACTCGCATGATACCTGACTTCAAGCCCAACTACCTAAAAAAAAACCTTTTATCGGAGAGAACATAACAGCGGAACGCCAGAAAATAGAAAAGAAAAAGAACAGCGAAAGAAAAAAAAGTACTAATTTTAAACGAAAAATTCATTTTACAAAAAAAACGCAACAATGAACGCCTGTTGAGCGCTGTTGGAAGTTGTTCAGAAACATCCAATACAACTGCAGTTTCTTTATCATTAAAGCGCATCCCAATAAAATACAGTACAGCGGTCGGACGCTTTGAACAGGTGTGGATGAGTCATCGTATACCATAACGATATATAAAACGTGAACAAATCACTTTTTTTCAAGATCGGAAGCGACCATCAAACAAAAACTGATATGAAGATAAGCCACGAAAAAGATTGAAAGTTTCGCAACAGCGTTAGCCAAGCTTCAAATCGATAAAGCGGATTGTGTGGGTGTGCAATAACGTCTGCCGTTTCTGAGCGTCTCGGGGGGCCTTATGTCGACAGTGTAAGATGGGTCCCTTCCCGCCCAACGCTTCAGAAATACGTGTGTTCCAGAGGTGTTGCCAACATGTGGGAAAAATGCAGAAAAAAAATTGAGTGAATATTCAAAAATTTTAATTTAAAAAAAAATGGATCAGCCTTGAGCCAACTCAAAAAAAAAATCAAACGGAACGGCTTTCTACTACCTAACTAAATGTTTCGAATAGAGTCGGTTTAGCGAGCGCACTAGGATCTATTTTTCTAAAAAATTTTTAGAACTAAAGGCTTCAATTCTGAAGTTTTTCTTTTTAAATAGATCTAAAGGACGCGAAAAATCAGAGAAAAAAAGAAGTCGCAATAAACGAATTTGGGAAAAATAGCTTTATACCGCGTTCAAAGCTAATTTCAGTGTGATTGGTTGGCTCCACTTAATTGACAGGAAAAAATAAGAAACAAAGTTATTTTGGACATTTGCCAAATAGGAGGTGCCATTCAATCTATCTGACCGAATCCGGCTGCGCGCATCAAATTTGCTTTGAACGCAGCATTACATCATGACTGATACTAGTTGCAGTGCGTTGTGCCTTCGCTAGGGTACAAAAGAAAAGCGGAGCAGACATTGAGAATAACTGCCGGGATAAAAGCGAGAACGCTGGCGGTAAATTGACAAACGCGCAAACATCGCTTCTAAAATATGTTTAGGGGCTCCTATAGGGGGACGAATGTGGTCCCTTGTAGAGGACAAGTGTTCTCGCGCGCGTCTGGCATTTTTGTAGGTGTAACCTCGAATTTCTTTAGGCGCGATCACGCACTACAAAAATTTTTTTTTTAAATGCGTTCGAAATGCGAGGATCCGTCTAGAAAAACGCGAGACCCTTACAAGAACAGAACAACACGTTTGCGATTTCATCAAGCGAACCGGTAGCGGTAATTTGCAAGGTACCGCTACCGGTTCGCTTCTGTCGCGCCGGATCCAGGGTCGGACTGAGTAGTTATTTTCGGTGATATGTGCAAATATTGAAAATAGTCGTCCATTTTAGCTCGGATATGCAAAAAACGGAATACAATATAAATTACCATGGCGCCATGGCGTGTTCATCGGAGAAACGGAAAATGTTTCAAAACGCAAAAGCATGTATATCGGCGCGCGCGCCAAAGTTTCTCCGACACAATACTTTTGTTTTGCAGCAACTTTCTTGCTTTTCGGAACATGTTCCGAAATTGTTAACAATTTTCGTTTTGGCCGATGAACACGCCATTAACTGAATTTCGGAGAGTCAGAGATATGTTTGCATTTGAATTCGCGGCGATTACTTTATAAAAAAATATTAAATTTAAACTTCATCAAAACTTTACCTTTGCGCGTAGGATTCGTTGTTTGGGTAACCGGCGTAATATTCGACGACTAAATTGGGTATTGTCAAATATTCTCCGCTTTTTTCATGCCATACCTGAAATGGAGCGCCACAACACTTTCTCTGACATACACTGTTTTGTCGTTTTCTCGCAGCTAGATATAGGTGATTCACGGCTGGCTTGAGCCATCGAAAAAAGGGTCCTGACACGATAATGCACGAGATAGTGCCCGGTTCGTGGAGAGCCCAGACAGGACACGCCCCCGTAGCGCCTCAATCAGCTATAACGACGAAATGTGTGTCAGAGAAAGAGCTGTGGCGCCCTTTTGGCACTCCATATACATGGAATACAGTCGGCGATTTTAAAATTGACGCTCCAAAATCCATTTGAACACGTCATTACCAAAAGTCAATCGCGAGTAAGATACAAGTAGTTACTTCAAAGACGTAAGCTAATCGGTTTCCGTTCATTAGCTACCGAGTACCATATCCATGATACCTGGATACTATCGCTGTCCTACCTGACATTTACGATAGCTATTGGGCGATCCTGTTCCTTTTAAGCGTCAGCTAGTAAGACCTTGGAACGGTTAACAAGAATACTGGTGCGAAAAACTATAGTTCCGCCACCCGGTAGAAATCGAAAAAATCAGGTAGTAAGGTACCATAAAGATAATACTCGCGAGTACGCGTAAGCTAATCAACGACCACCGATTAGCATAGGTCTATCGAATGAGGTCCACCCTACTCCCAATAGACCAGGGACCCTCGATATCGCACTATCATCAAAAAATGTAATATTTTGGGAAAGATATTGGACTGCAGTTATGCCAAAAGGCAGAGCGATCCAATCATGCTGTGGGGATCCACTGCGTTCCGGCTCAAGCCCCTCATCGGCGCATCAAAGTTGCTCCAAAACAGTACTAATTGTTGTCCTTCTTAGATATGACTACTGTAGCTAAGCTACTCGAATTCAAAAAGGAAAATGTCAAAGAATTGGCGAGCATCATCAAGGCTCTCACCTTCAGAGAAGTTATCTACGCTTTGGCGTGTTTTTGCAAAGTAATATTTGAATAGATTGGAAAGTTGAGTGCAACTCCCGGCGGGCTTCGCATAGTCGTTGGAGATGGTGCACTACAACAGGTTTTCTTTTAATTTTTCCACTTGTTAGTATGTTTTTAAATAGTCAGAATATTATAAAAATAATGATAAATTCATTTCCGGGCAACGCTTACATGGAAACTTGTTTCTTCTCCAGCTTCGTGTGCCGAGATGAAACTATTGAAGTTAATTTCCCTCTGAAAGCGCTGAGCGTAAGTTTCTCATTTCTCTAAGCTATCACAGATTGAAAATAATAAATATGTTAAAAAGTAGCGATATTTTTTCCAAATTTTTCAGGAATGTCTCAATTTGGGAGATGCGAGCAGCAGCTCTTTATCACTGAGCTATGCAGGCTTCTGCGAACCTTTGATGTTGAAAATTCATGACGGAAATCACTCAGTTAAAGCGAAAATTCATACGTTGTCTTCAAATGAAGTAATCAAGTATTTTTTAGTGTTTGAATATACAGTTACAGACAAACGATTTTAACTTTGAAGTGAGCGAAATCGTTGCGAACTGCATTTTGAAAACTACTTTCCTGCACGATTTTTTCCGGGTTTCGTATTGTTAGCGCACCTATTTATGGCTATTAGTTGAGGATCTCGACACTACGAGCCCTAACTTGGTGATAGAGGTTTCTGAACGTGAACTCAGCTTTGTCACACAAGGAGAGATCGGTATGACCACTGTGAGGAGTATATCGGGAAATAATTTGTAAGAGTATATTTCTAGTGCACGATTCCTCTCAAATCTCTACAGATGGACGTGATTGCGTGTAGTCGACCAGTCACCTATGGGTACCGGCTTTCTGCAATCCAGCGAATGACACCTGCTATCGGCCTTTCTAATCGGGTAGGGGTTTTCAATAATTTTTTTATCCATATTGCTCAAAAAAATAACGTTTTTTAGGCGTCCCTTCGAATAGACAATCGCGGTGTTCTGAATCTCCAGCTCATGATCGACCACGGTGACAGCCTCAAAAGCTATATCGAATTTTTCGTTGGTTTTTTTTTCAATTAAAATGACTCGATTTTCCTATAAATTCCTACTGCAAAATCACTCTTTTGGAGGATTTCTTCGGGTATTCGTGTTTTAAACGCATTCATCAGTCCCATGTAGTACTTCGGTTCATTCAACTCTCTTTATAAATATAAAAACAGATTTAAAACAGATTGACGGATTTCAGACTGCTGCGGACGAAGAAAAATTTTATTAAGATTCAAGCTCAAGGACAAAACAATCTATTAAAGATCCAAAATTGTTTTCTCGCATTTTGCTTTCGAATAATAAATATATGTTCACTATTTTTCTGATTCGATTTCTCTCCCATTCAAACTTTCAAACCCATTTTCTTTTAAATTTAAATAACAATGGGAATGAATTACCCCGAATGTAAAAGAAATAAATTATTGATTATAATGTAGGGACATGAAACTTATCACATGTTTCTCTCTCTCTTTTTCTCACGCGAAGTAGCCGAAAAACCAGTTAATAAAACTATTTAAACTCATTGTTGGTATGGAGGCGGGTAAGGGATGGGGGTAAAATATGACGATTCATTCGGTGGGGAGAAAATCGGCGGTTCTCGGGGTGTATTTGCAGGCTGCAAATCATTTGATATGTCACAAGACTTGAAAAATGAGAAAAAAAACTTACTTGAGTGGGAACTTGCGAAAAAGCACTACGCGAAGACGCAGTCACCGTATTTGAATCGTAGTGTTGTGGTGCGTAGTCAGAAAATGGCAGAGGATTCGCCCGAGCGTACTTTAAAAAAAAGTTAATAGAGAATGTGCTCGTATTCACATAACAAAAATAGAATCTGCGCTCTAAAAATTTTTTTAATTTTTTTCAAAAAAATATTTTTGAATTGAGTATTTTTTTATACTAATTAAGGTTTATGCAGTGTTTGAAATAATTTTGCTGAATTCGAAATGATCTCGAGAACTCCGAGGAGTCCGTGTTTTCTTTTCCTTTCTCTAAAAGTTATTTCTAAATTTGCCGAAATAACTTTTAATGTGGCATTATGTTTTGAGGGTACACAAATTTCAAAGTTCGTTTAAAAATTGTTTATAGTCGGTTCAGATTTTGAATGTCAACCAGCTAACTCCGCTCCTGCTGAGACGGTACCTTTTCGCGTCGATGTTTTATTGCGCGGGACTAATTTTGTTCTTTTTTTTTATTTAAAAGATGGAAAAAGAAGTCAAAACGTGCAGCCTTATTAAAAGGCCATCGTCATCTGTAGATAAAACATTGACGCGAAAGATATTGTAGCCTTGGGGGTGGAGTTAGCTGCTTGACATTCACAATCTGAACAGACTATAAAAAGCGCTTAAAAACCGACAGCTTTTTGCGAAAACCTTACGCATATTCGAATGTTTTTAATTTTTAAATGAGCCGTTAATTAAAACTACCTGTCCATGAATCGTCGGTGAGGAAACCAGCGGCAAAGGGACGCCTATTGGATTTTGCTGAGCTGAAAAATATTCACAAATGGCTGGAACTATCAAAAAAGGGTCTTGAAATGAAAAATTACGAAAAACATTTGTCTGCTCGGAGGAGAGGGCAGACACCGTGGTACGGGACTGAGTATTGAAAAATCCAAAGAACTCACTCTGATGGAATGAAGAAGATGGAAAGCTTTGATTCATTTGGTTATACGCGGGAAACGTTTGAGATTGGGTATAAGCTTCGGTTGGTGGGAAATTCTCTTGCGTGCGATTCGCAAAATTTTGCGATTGTTCCTGAAAAGAAGCTTTTTTTAAAATATAAAGTGAAAAAGATCGAAACAGAAAAATAAAAACAAACTATTGGGTACGGCGGATCGGCGAAGTTAGGATGAGCTCCGTAAAGCTGATGATCTTCAGGCAAATTTTTGACATTCTGTAGTCCGGTATGCTGTGCTAGCGGAACGGGAACCTAAAATGTTGTCGTTTCGATATTTTAAGTTATATCCAGCAATTTCAAACTATTCAAACGTAATTCAAGGAAGTTACTTCCCAATCTCGTTGACTTTTTCTTTTACAGAGAAAAATTGGATGGTATGAAATAAAAACAATCGAAATTTCGAACTGCGACTTTTCTGAATTTTTTATATCGCTAGGGAGTTTTCCGACTGCGAAGTTTCCGACTTTTTTTCTCAATAAACTTTTCGTTTTGAATCTTCCTGTATAAAAATAGGTAGGTGATTTATGATTAAAAACACAAAAAAAGGAAATTACAATGGTAATAGATCTTTAATAAAAACGGAAATTATTAGGGAAAAGAGTCGGAAAGTATCCTATCGGTATGAAGAAAATCGGAAGAGTCACCGTTCGAGCTGGTTTTTTTTTCACCAAAAATTTGTAAGAGGGAGAACTTTTCATCCCGAAACATGGCTCGAAATCTGCGGGTCTAATTTTTCCATTTCTGATCGATAACTTTCTCATAAAATGTTTTTCTGGGTATCGGCGGTTCAACTGAGCGTGCCTGAGGAACGTGCGAAAATTGAGAAGAACCGGCAGCTGTATGAATTGAGCTTTCTGGAGGAGATGATGTGCTCGGTGAAGTTGCGCCCGAGTGAACAATAACCTCTGTCTGTAAACGGGAGAGATTTATGAGTTGAACTTGGAGGTATCTATTGTAGCTCTAAAATCAAATCCGCGAAATATAGTCAATGTTTCCCGACTTGAAAGGCGAGAAGGGCGGGGCGCGTAGCGTGTGCGCTCGCGGTCCTTGGCACGTGTTCAATTCAACCGCCATCGACTCTTTGAAAAGCCCGTTTTTCGCTTTTTTCATTCCTTTTTCAATTATTTATTGATTATGTTCATGTGTGCATCAAAAAATAGTAGAAAACATTGAAAAAGAGCGGTTGCCGAGCTTTTTAAATAATCGGCGGTGATTGAACTGGACTTGTGCCAAGGACCGCGTACGCACACGCTACGCGTCCCGCCCCTTGCCCCGCCTTCTTCGCCTTTCAAGTCGGGAAACATTGACTATATAATTCCACATTATCAAAAAGCTTGACGTTTTAATAATACATCTCTTCTGATTTCCAACCAACACAAAAGGAAAGAAAAAGTACCAATTCGGCAATATCGATTTGCGCCGACGGCTTCACGACGGAAGCGATTTCTTCGGGAGCCGCAGGCGCAATCTTCACGCGGCCGAGAGCATTTAAACCGGACGCTCTGAAAATTCTCGATTACAAATCATGATGAAATTTTTTTTGCGAAAAATTTCATCATAAAACTTTCACTTAAAAAAAAAACGAACGATGAAGAAGCAGAGGTAGCAATGACGGGCGGATTAGGAATCGTATCTCGAATCAGTTGCGGAAAAACGTGTTGAAGACGTTCGACCGTCATTTCATAAAGGCCCGGAATCGCGGCGAAAGTATTGGTATTGTCCAAAACAAGCAACATGTTCTTCAAAGATTCTGGCACAGCTTCGTTCAAGTTTCCACAGCTATCAACGCGCAGATACTGCTCCATGAAGTCGAGAAGTCTAAGCCAGAGTCTCGAGAAGGAAGGCAATTGCGAGAGCGCCCTAAAGCGAGAAAAATACAAACTGTGGCTAAACTCATGATGGCAAAACATTTCACGTGATAATGAATATCAATCTTATCAAAAGCTCTGACTTATGAATTCAATTTTTTAAGTTAAACAGGATTCAAAAAAATATCAATAATAATTCAACTAATTAGCCGCTTTTTTTAAATTTCTTGTTTTAATTTCATTTTCTAAATGTCCCCTTTTATTCTCTCACAGAAACCATTTTTGAACAAAATCAGAAATAATCTTACAAGGGAACGTTTTTACCCCTGCACTTTTGATGAAAATTTGCTTGAGTGTACTTTACGAACTTCGGATTGCAGAAAAAAAAAAACTTTTCGGGGTAGGTCTGATTTTTGAGTTAAGACGCTTCAAAAGCTTCAAATAGCGCTTTTTTGTTATAACTTGCATATTTTGCAGACTTTGAAGCTTCATCAATCGGAAGAAAGATCTATTACTAGAAATGTTCACTTGTTCTGCAATCAGAAGGTCCTAAAGTACAAACTTCTATTCTTTTTTATCTTGTCTAGTTTTGAAAACCTCCTCAGAAAAACACAGAGCACAAGAAACTTTCGAGACGCTACTTCTATAGATTGATGTAAAATGATAAGCCCTACGTCAAATGGTTCAACAGAGTCTTGGCAACGATTTGAATGGCGCGAACTCGCGTGTCCTCCATTCCAATGAGATCCATAGCCGAAAAAGGCTCCAGCAGCTTGGTGAGCAGCGGGAAAAGAACTTCTCCAAAGCAGGACTGCCACTCGGTCGCGCCGAGATCCGTCATGTTCGAAGGCAAAAACGCTCTCTGAAGCAGAGATATGTTCAAAAAGGTCTGAAAAGTCCCAGCGAGACCTGTAGATGAGCGAGGGCCGAGGCTCGCACTTGCCGTCGACAGTCACAGCTGAGACGAGCCATCGCCTGTAGGAGGGGCTTTCCGATCTCCGACCACACAAACGAGACCGAATTGTACGCCTCCAACACAGGTAACGATTATATTTTACTCAGGTACGACATTTGGAAAATAAAAGTAGAGAACTGTAAAATTTTTCAGAATGAAATATTTGGTAGAAATTGAAATTGTTAATTCTGGTAATTTACCTGAGAACCGTCGTTTGAATCAGCCCAACGGGCAAAAATTGCAGGAGCTTTTGCGTGCAGTTGGGAACAAAGGTCGAGCAAATGCAGAGAGACCTGGAAATTTCGAACTTCCCAAAGCAAGAATTGATTTCATAATACTTGTTGATAACTGTTGGAAAGCTGTTGCTCTTCTTTGCGTCCTTCATCTTCAGGTACATCCGTCGTCATGTCCTTCTATAAAAATTAAAAACAATTAAATTTCAAAATAGTGCTAAATTTTCTTTAGATATGAGTAAACTATTATAGGCAAGGTCTTTGAACCAACTTTCGTCGTCTTTTGCTGTTGCTGAGTCCTATTCCGGACGCGTTCTTCAACTATTGTACTTCGTAGCCGATTTTGAGCGTCTCCACTCAAGGGTCCAGCCGCGTAGCTTAAAAATAGTGGAATTTACAGTTCGCTGTCTTTAAAATGCTCTTCCAAATACCAAATCTCTAGTGTTTCAAATTACAATTATTTTTTTCTTTTTTTCGATTTCTATAAACCTGAAGGTTTTATTCAACTTTCAGACAGTTTTCCCACGAAAATAAAAGAAAAACTCACAAGCCTCCGTCAAAACTCGCTTCCACCATAGTTCTCAAACACTGAAGACTCGACTCAAAGTTGTCCGGGGTGACGTGGGCGGCGTCTCGCAGCAAAAAAACGCGAGGCATTCGCAAACCTGTTCATTTAAAAAAATTTTTAATGGGAGTAAATAAATTTTTAAATTTGGAAATTCATAAAAATGAGAACGCAAAACGGATTTCTCGCGGAAATCATAATTTTACTTTTCACTTCTTTAAAAAGCGATAAATGTTTCCAAACTTTCACAATGCCTCTTGACACAACAAAAAAACTTTGAAAGATTGGTAATTCTAGAGCTTACGTATAAAGACGCAGGCTAATTTAAGGAATAAAAATTTTTGGATTTTTCTTTGTCCTAGCCATACAAGGGCGAGACGGATGAGGATCACCCACAAAAAAAAAAAAATTTAAAACCAAGGTTTAAAAAAAAGTTTTAAACCCAGGGTCGTAGTATTAATAAGAATAGAAGTAGCTTTTGACAGCAGGGGTAGTAGTGACTTTAATTCATAAAAACTCGGGGAAGGGATGGGCGGCATTAAAAATTAAAAAATTGATCTGCCCATGTGTGGTCCAAACCTTAAGAAATGCGGCCGGCTCGTGGCGCCCGAGGCCTGTGCGCAAAACGAGCGAGTGCGGGTTGAAACGCTGAGAGGCGGCTGATCCTAGGGCTTTCAACGCCTCTTCGGTGGCTCGGGCCGCGTCTCTGTGGTCCAGGTGAATCCAGTCCGCAGAAGCAGCCGTCGTCGTCGTCGTGGTTGAGCCGGCCACTGTTCTCTGACTACTGCTTCCGTTGATGGAGTCCAGAGACGTCGCACTTCTGGACGGGCTATCCAGAACTTTCTCTGACACTAAAATGACTCATTGGAAAAAATATCTCAAGTCGTTGATAACGCATACTGAGCGAGTTGGAGTGCCTGCTCGGTTCATCAGAAGTGTAGCCTCTATCAATTGCAAACTCTCTCGCGTTCGAATTTCTCTCCTGCTCTCCGTCGGAAAACGCATTTCGGGCGTTACTCTCACGTTCATGCACCTTGAATACTTAATGAAGTCTTCGAAAATTCGCTATTCTCTCATATTTTCTTTTATTCAACTTTTAGACAACAAAAATTGTACAACAATTTCAAAAAAAATTTGGAATGGTCTTAGTATTCGATTAATCTAGAGTTGAAGTTATTTTCAAATCCCTCATGAAAATGAACTCAATGATCAGTATTAAATGAGGATGAAGTTTAGAAAAAATTCTGTTTTTGTTTTTTGAACCACTGTATGAGAACAAGGTCAATGCCACCGCTGACTTAAAAACGCCTGATTTTTTTTCTTTAGCGTTTTACTTTTTCTAAAACGGATTTTAATAATCCTAAATGAAAATGAATGGCTATGACTTCTATTGACATGATCGAAGCCTCGACGCACTTGTACAACTTCTTCGGGAAGGACAGCAGCACCGGCAGACTCGAGAAGGGCAAAAAGGAGCGCCCAATGCTCTCGACGATGCACGTTGGCAGCGTTCGCCCGGATCAACTTGTACAGCCCGAAAGAGATCTGCCGGCTGAACACGAACAGAGCCTTTGGCGAAAGGCGCTAAAAAAATATATATACAGTACCGCTCAAAAAGTCTATTAAGTTTTTGGTTTTTTTGGGGATATCTCAGCGAGTACTTATCCGATTTATATATAACTTTCAGGGATAATGTAAAAATATACTTTGAAACATATACGGTATATGAAGACATGTCCGCAATGACTGTGACGCGTTTTAGGCATTTTTTTATTGAATTCCATTTTTGTTTTTTTATGCTTTTATTTTTTTATTTATTTTTTTATTAAATTTTTTTAAAAATTAATAATGTTGCCATATGATTTTTTTTCATGTTTTCAGACATGGGAAGAACCTTTGGAAATAAGAATTTGACTGATAACGACAAAAGAGCCATCGTTGTGGGTCGTCAAAATGGACTGACCATGATGACGTTGGCAGGAATGTTCGGCGTGACAAAGGCGGGCATTTCTCAGTTCCTAAAGCGTCAGAAAGCTCAAGATGGCTCTACTAACAGCCAACGCACTGGAAGACCACGTGTCACTGATCGTAATGACGATAGGAACATTTTGAAGACGTCTAGAACCAATCCAAGACTCACCGCCCCTGCGATCAGACGGGAAGTTTTCTTGAATTCGCCATCTCCGCCATCCGTCTCGACCGTGAAACGACGTCTGAATGCTGCTGGAATCATGGGAAGACGTCTAGTGAAGAAACCGCTGATTTCTGAAAAGAATCGAGCCGCCAGGGGTGAAGTGGGCGAAGGAGCATCTCAACTGGACCCGTCAAGACTGGAACAAGATTCTGTGGTCCGACGAAAGCAAGTTCCTCCTCTTCGGGGAGTGACGGAATTCAGTGGGTTCGTAGACCAATTGGGTCCAGATATCATCCGAAATACCAATTACCCACCGTGAGACATGGTGGAGGTTCTTGCATGGTGTGGGGCGCCTTCTCTGGAAGTGGCAACGGACCGCTTCATCGCGTGAACGGCATCATGGACAAGCACGTCTACAAAGACATTCTTCAGAACCAGATGTTGCCGCACTTGAGAGCCATGGGCCGTGCGAGTGTTTATCAACAGAATAACGATCCCAAGCACACTTCACTGTTCGTCAAGGTGAGAAAAAAATTGACAAGTAATTCGTATGGTTTTGAAACTCAGGATTGATTCAAGAGCCGTCGGGTCAATGTCATGGGGTGGCCAAGTCAATCTCCGGACCTGAACCCGATCGAACATCTCTGGGAAGAGTTGGAGCGACGTTGTGCCAACAAAAGAGCCAAGAATTGCAACGAGAAGTTTGCTCAACTGCTGTCTGAATGGAATCAGATCCCCATGTCTACCATCGACACTTTGCTCGATTCTATGCAGAGAAGATGCCAGGCAGTGATTGACGCCAGGGGCTTCGCAACCAAGTACTAGGTCCCGAATATTGTTTTTAACAATGTTTTGTGTTGATAAAAAAATTTTTTTGTTGAGCTATGATTTTTTTAATTGAAAAATAGCAAAAAAATTCGATTTTTTTCGAAAAATTCGTTTTTCTCGAAAAAAATTATTATTCTTTGAGCTAGCAACTTGAAATTTTGCCAGAACACGTATGTCTCTCTCAGAAAAACTATGAAAAAATTTGAATCGATATCGCACTTCAAAAAATTTATCCCCAAAAACCAAAACTTAATAGACTTTTTGAGCGGTACTGTATATATATATATATATATTCCTATTCACCTAATTTTTACGATGTTCACAATTTATCAGAAACACAACTCACCAAAAAGTAAAGAAAGTGACTGGAGAACTTCGTCGGCAACTGTGTTGTCACGGAAAAGGTTACGGTTAGCCACACGCAGAAGTCCAACAACGGCACGCTCGACGAGTACGGGACAGCGGCCAAATGACGACGAAAGGAGCCACTCGAGGTGCCGTCGAACGGGTCCCCAGACGACCGACAGTCGGTCCTTAATCGAGCCCTCATGAGAAAACATTCCAGGCGCAACTTTTAAAAATCGAGATCCAATGTTAAGAATCTTCCTTTGCAGTTCTAACTCGCAAGAAGATTTAATCACAATTCCTATGACATTTTTCTTTTAAAACCTGCTTTTCAATTTTTTTTAAAAAGTGTTCTCAACATGAATCGCATCTTCCGCGGTCACTTTTCTCGGTACTAGCGCAGTAGCGCCCGCCGTTTTCTTCCCGATTAACACGTTTCTAACGCTCAGTTTGGTCGGCGGGAAAGTCGATTAAATCAACTGCAGAAATACCGATACACACGAGCGAAATTCCATCGCGAATCTCCCGAATTCCCCACTCGCCAGAAAATAAGTGTCTGAGAACTGATGGGATGACAAGTAAGATATCTCTCCTTTTTTCACAACTTTCTCAATATTTAACACGGTTTTCACCTATTAATATTTGAATCAAAAAGTAAATAAACAAAAAAATAATACTTGAAATAGACATTTGCACTCACTTTGTTCTCAATCGATATTGAGACCATCAGTTCCAAGTAGAAAACTAACGCATCTTCATCTTCGCCCACCATGCTGACTTTCTGAAACTCAAAAACTTCAGTAAAGTTAAATCAAAAAAATGGAAGACTAATGAATGAATGTTTATTTCGCTCACAGACAGATCTGTGGCGTGGAGGAAGAGAACCATGAAAGTTATATTTGCCTCCACTTCGATAAAGTTCCACTTTTAATCTAAAAAAATATTTTTAGGTCGAAATCGAAGAGAATCAAAAAGAAAAGTAATCTATAAACGAGTTGAATCATTTTGTGAAATTTGCAGCTTCCTTTATCAAAAAAACCAATTTTTTTCAAACAACTTTTTAAATCTTCTTTGGTCATCCTCAAAAACCATAACTCTGTTTAAGCCGTTCCAGTATTTATACACGCGTTGCGTAATAAAGTTATAGTGAACATGATGGATTGGTGGTGGTTCGAGTTTAAGGCCGTTGCCTCTCAGTTGGTTTCGTCTATATGATATCGTTTGTAATTTGAATGGAGATGGACACCAATAATAGCCATATATGAACTGATGTGTAATTATGATATCTTTTCGCAGACGCCTTGTCCATAGAGTGTCTAGAGAAAGGGATTTTTAGTCTTACAGCATAGGTTTCTTTTTGGGGAGAAGCCGTTTGGTGAATTTTTCTTTGAACCGATTCTAGCCTGTTTATGTCAGATTGGGTTAGTGGAGAGAATAGCTCCGATCCATACTCTAAAAATTGGTAGAATTTTGGCTTTATAACAGTTCATAAAGTTTTTTTAACGGAAAAAAAGTGAAGCAACGGAAAAAGATTATTGATTATACGAATGCTTTTTTTGACTATTATGTCGATATGATGATGCATTTTCAGATCGGAACTGAAATTAACTCCTAAATCTCTAATCACCTCTTGTTTGGGGATGGATTCCTCTCCTATTCTATAGTCGTTCCAGATTCCCCTTCTTTTTACCATACCGCACATAGACGCTTTTTAGAGCTAGAAATAGATAGTTGCCTTTCTAAAAGCCAGTATCTTATTGAGTTAATATCTGATTGCAGCTTGAGGTTATAATTATCAGTTTCTGAGCTTATGAATAATTTTTACGTCATCTGCATAAATGAGCATTTTGCTATGTTTTACGACACTAGTTATATCATTTATGTATATCAAGAAAAACAACGGTCCTAAGCAGCTTCCTTGTGGAACCCCAGACAACACCTCGGTTTCGTTGGATACCTCATCATTAAGGCGGACAAATTGAGTTCTATTTGTTAAGTACTGTGAAAACCATTTGTGTAAGCGACCTACACACCCATAAGCTTTTAACATTTTAATGAGCCTCCTATGTGTGACTGAATCGAAAGCTTTACTAATATCTAAATATACAACGTCCACATTCTGATTTCTACTGGCGCACTCGATTAAAAACTTCTGTTTTTGAAGAAGTTGCGTCGTTGTATTTCTATTGTTGAGAAAGCCGTACTGTGAATCAGAGAGTATATTGTTGCTCCATGAACTTGTCAAAAATTCGCCTCAATTTGCAAATACCCTGTTACTGGTGGGAAAGTTATCGTTCAACAAAGACTTTCCCGCTCAGTAGTTTCTCATGAGCTTCTTTGCTGCTTATTTAATTGAGAAAGACCGCGGATTACGGATTACGAGAACCCTAGGAAAATCTTCTAATTCCATCAATATAGAGCCCTGCATTGAAACGACAGCCTTCCCGTAAGTTTGGAGATACATTTCTTTTCTCTCAAAATATATAAAGTCATGTGAATTTAACTTGGAAGTTGCGAATTTCTTTGTTTTTTCTAAAAACGGCCGTATGATATGATAACCAACATTGAGACCCTGAAAGTCTCAACCTACACATCTTCATAATCTCTGTGAAAAAAATGTTCAAAGTCATCCATTTTAGCGAATTCAGATGATTTTTTTAAAGAGTTCTTAACGAGAACTAGAAAGTTGTGCAGGTCCAACCGAAGCCCCGAAATGGATGACCTTGAAAGAAATCAATTTAAAAAAATCACTCCATGCGTCGTTTCTTGAGATTTTTCCACAATCTGCATACTATTAGTAGAGAGGGCACCGAGAAGTTCGGCAAGAGAGGTACTGGTTAAGTACTTGCTGTCGAGTACGATTTGCGAAGGTCTACACTCGGCAATGACGGCTGACGACAGCTGAACGCAGAAGATAACAAAACATGATGAAAGTCAACCCGGAGAGGACCACCTTTATGGCATTCAGCTGCTCTTGAGTGGGCTTCCTCCGATCGGACTCACCGCCGCTACCGCCAAGTCCAAACCACGATAGTAGCCCCGTTTCACTTCGCACCGTTTGCAACTCCCTGCAACATAATTCAAAAATAGAGGTGGAAAAATAAATAAATAAAAACAACATTAAAAATGAAGATAACATTATTATCTGTCAAATATCCACTCTACATATATTTATTTTTGACCGAAATCAAACTTTTCATGAGTCCTTAGAATGGACACCCATTCTTTTTCGTCAACAAAGTCTTCAACTTCCGTTAGATCCGACGGAAGGAGACGGGCTCGGAACATTTGAAGAAGAACGTCGAGCAGATTCCGCCAACCCTGAAGGAAAAGGATTAATGACCAGGTGATCAATGTCGACTGCTTCTCTGAGAATGCCCCCGTTCGCGTGTAGCAGTTCAAAAAGAGTCCGAGTCGCCAGTTGAGCCTTGTGGTTCTCCCCAAAGGCCAGTGCGACGCCTTCTGGCGACGAGTGATGAAAAACTCTCTCGTTGAGACCACGTTGCCTTTGAATCTCCATGCTGTCGGAGGCTCCTGCAACCTTCCTCATAGATGTGTGTTTCCATTTTTTCCATTAGGGTTCATCATATATTCAATCCTTGCCGACTTGAAAAACGAGATGAATTGACTTTTCTACGTTTTTCCATGATTGTATTTTTTTATTTTCTTTTCAAAATTATTTTTTTTGCTTTTCTTGTTTCAAAGATTGTGTTTTACATTTTACATATTTTACACAACAATCTCTCGTCTAGATGTCATTCTCCGGCTCACCTTCTCGCATTGGGGTCAGAGTGCTGAACTTGCAGAGGTGGATAACGAGGTTGTCGAAAACTTCTTTCATTCCGTAGTGAGCCGATATCGAGGCACATTTGCGATACCCACTGAGAGCTTTCTGGAAAGTTTCCGCGTCCCGTGAAAACGAAACAGTTGGTACAGACTTGAAGAATGTGCTCGTGCTCGGACTTGTCGAAGACATAGCTGAGGGCAGCCACCGCTGGACCCCAACACACTGCGAAAAGGTCGTGATCGTTCCAGCCACTTGGCGCGTGGTAGAAATCACCCTCCTTCGTCTCACCACGCCTCAACAAAACCTAAAAACGTTTCAGATTTGAAAGGCAACTGTATTCCTTCTTTTCCGGGTCTCGCTTACCGGCTTAACACGCTGTCTCCGTTATTCTCAAAAACAACGGGAACAATAAAAAAAAATATTTTTTGATTTCGACAAAACTTCATCCAGTGTGATAACCCATCATCAGAAATGCGGACCCAACTTTTTGAGCCATTTCCTCTTACTGTAGCCGGGTTACGGTAGGCAGGTGGGCACCTGCGTATCTCAGTATTTATGAGTTTTTTTATTAGGCAAGTGATATATCAATCGATAGGTAATTCAATTTTAGGAACTTTTACAGTACATACCATCATGGGTTACGGTGGGAAAATTTTGAGTTACGGTACTTTTTGTGTCCGCCGAGTCAGTTTTTCGACCACCATGAGCTTGAGCCGGGAGATCCATTCTTCCTAACTTCTCAAAAGATACCTTATGAGAAGCTGTACAAGCTGTTACTAGTTTGAAAAAATCCTAGGTGGACCATCATTTCGAAAAATCGCCTCGAAGGCGCGCAATCGTGGTCTTGCGGCGGCCAAGTGGGTGAAGTCCATGATGCCTGACGGCTCATTCTTCAGAGATCCATTCCAATCTTTGTTTCCATTTCACTAATAGACATCTATTATTGATTTTTATTTCAATTTGAGATGTTTTCGGGTTGACCATCATCTCGAAATTTCATTTTGAACCCAAACTTGGCCTAAAATGGCCGACTCGGCCTTTTTCACGGGATCCATGACCCCGTATGTGACCGTTCTCAACTTTTTCTTTCTTAAACATGAA